ATCTTATGCAGCCTCCCCCAATCTGGTGGCTTCTAGATGTTTTGGGATATGGCTCTCATCAGCCTTACCAGCATGGTCACAATCCAAGACATCTGTAGGGCACCAGGTTGGCAAAAGCTGATCTTAATTAGCAAATGACCCCTCCTCTGCCCAGATTGTAAATGTAACCAAAATGAAATTTGAGACTTGATGGCTTCACCAAAAGGAGAGTAACCAAACAGGGTTTTTCTTCGGGGGGGGGGGGGGAGGTGCCCCCCGGGGGGGGGGGACAGTGGTTAAAAGTGTGGCACTTACTGGAACAACTTCATGGCAAGTACTGGCACCTTTTTCCTAGAAGAAAAACTTCCTATAACCAAATAAGATTTTGTCCAAGCAGTGCAAGAAACAGCTTGAAGATACACAAGGGGTAATAGTCAACTAGGTTTTACTCAACGTAGACCTGTTGAAATTAATGGGCCCAACTTTGTCCTGCTGGTGGGTATACTCTGAATAAGGTTTAGTTAAATGCCACCTGTGGAATTTGAGTGGAGGAATTCATCCCAGGGTTAAGTTTCTTGAAAGCCATTAAAAGATTATCCCACAACATTATAATTATCCCTGGAACAAAGAGAAAGTGTTTAATGGTTCAGAGATCAAAAACATATTAGCATTTAATGAATGCTTGTGGTGGGGGATAATTAGAGGTAGTTTGGTAGGCACTGGTGGGGGGGATGTCACATGACATGACATGATTTTGTCCATTGTATTTTCGGAAAGGATTTGTAATTATTAATTGGTGGTAATCCTTTGGGTTGTTTTTGTTTTATTGCTTTCTGATATTTTCTAGATATTACCTGTATATAAATGAATTCCTGAATTTTATTAATTCTTTAGGGTGTTTTAAAAATTGTTATAGAATGGCAATGTGATTTTTGTTGTATGTTTAGGCACTTCTATGGGCTGTAAACCGCCTTGAGTATAGTCCTGTAGAAAGTGAGGTATGGGAAATGAAATCACCCTATTACTATTTCCGCTCCTTTTTCCAAGTAGCAGCCAACAAATGGAGGTGATGGCGGAGGGTGGTGTAGAGATACACTTACGCAAAGGCGTTGTTTTTTATTACATGTTATGGGTTGGAGTGGGGAAGAGAGACTCTGGCTGCAGTGCTGAAACATCTCCCAATAGCATGTCCAAAATGTAATCTCATGTGCAGGGCAATTCTATATAAATTAACTCTGAATCAAATCCTAGTGAGGTCAGTAGAGCAGGGATGGAGGAACCTGAGAATGTGCAGTTGTTGCGGAACTACAACTCCCATTATCCCTGATCATTGGTCATGCTGGTTGAGGCTAATGGGAGTCAGAATCCAAAAGAACCAGGTGGCTCACAGGTTCCCCAGCCCTACAGCCGAGCTTATGACAGCACAGGCAGAGTTTATGGTACAAGTTTCTCTTCCAACTGATAGGAGAAGCAGAGAAAGTTGTGCAGAAACAAGCAAAAAAAAAATCTTTATAATTGCTGAAGATCTCAACAAGAAAGAGATGTTGTTAGTAAGCAACAATGATTCTCACAAGATGTTAATGGAAACAAACTATAAATCATGAGATACGAAACAACTCAGGTGTTGGACATCAACTCCCATCATCTTGGACCATTGACCATGTTGGCTGGGCTGATGGGCACTGAACTCCAAGAACATCTTGCATGTGCTCGGCTGGCCACCCTTGAACAAAGATTTCTCTCATTCTATTTACATTCTTATTTCCCAACTGACTCTGTCCAGTAGACTCCCTAACTCTCCCTAACTCTTTTGGAATACCGCCAAACGCAGTAACACACAGTTTCTCACTAACATTCCAGTGGGTGAAGGCATTACACCTAGGGAAGTAATTGAGTATAGAATTGCAGTCTAAGAGAGGTTTCAAAAAGGAGAAGCTGGAAGTTGACCATATCTGGATTAAATGGAAGAGAGGTGTAGCCTTTGATGATTGCTACGGGATCATAATCAGATTGAAATTATAACTTTTAAGATTGATGACACTGACCTAAGAGAGAAAGGCTTCTCCTGTATGCACACACCTGTACCTCATGAGTGGGGGACCTCAGGCCTGGGGGGCCCAAATGCATCCCTCTAGTCCCAACTATTGGCTCTCTGGACGTGCAACAAGACATGGTTCCTTCTCAGGCAACACTCCTCACAGCTCTTGGTCAGCACCTTCCTCAAGTGCTTCTGCATGGCAGGAATGTGTTCTTGAACCAGGATCATGCCTGTTGCTTGCCTAGATGAAGGCTAGAGCCATGTGTGCATTTCAGAAACACTTGATTTTTGTATGTTGTTGTTTTCATCCATCTATCTTGGGAGACAACGGAAGAGTTCACCTTCGGAGGTAAAGTCACAGCGCCTGCTGTGTCTGTAGAGACAGATATGGCAGAAACCTGTTTTGTTGCAGCTGGGGACAAGGTGTCCAGTTGTGCTGGGGCAGATGCTCTGCATCCCTCCCTGCGTTCCTCCTTCCTCTGTTCACTGCTGTGGATAGAAGACCTGTCCGTCTGCAAGCATTGCAATCGTCTGCAAGGGATTCCCATATGGTGGGGTTAAAGTCAGCCTTCATGTCACATTTGTAGACATCTTCATAACACAGAGTTGGTCTGCCAACAGTCCTAGAGCCTGAAACCTGCTTCCCATTGAGTATGTCCTTGGGGATCTTGCCATCTTCCATTCTGTGTACATGACCAAGCCAGCATAGACACTGCTGAGACAGAAGTGTGAACATGCTGGGAATGTGGCTTGGGAGAGCACATATTTGCTTGAGACTTTGTCCTGCCATGTGATGCCCAAAATCTTCCTGGTGGCAAATGGAATGCATTGAGGTGCCACTCCTGGAGTCTGTAAGTTGCCCACGACTCACTTCCCATAAAGCAGCTTGCTCAACATGCAAGCCTGGTAGACCTTCATCTTGGTATTGGTCATTAGCATCATATCCTCCCGTACCCTTTTGGAGAGGCCAGCCATTGCTGTAACTGTCTTGCCGATGTGTTTGTCCAGCTCAGTGTCGATGAAAAGCTTGCTGGATATGGTGGAGCCCAGGTAGACAAAAGTGTCTACCTTCCAGATAAAAATAAGAGTAACATCTTTTGCACTTGTATGACTCTGATCCCCAGCAATCCCTGATATGTTGTCCTCTATGGAACAGGGCCTTGGGGCTGAAAAGGCTCCCCATCCTCTCTATTCCTTGTGGTTATCTGCTGATTTCTTTTTCTCAGAGCCCCCGATTCTGAAATTCAGAGACTAGCTATGAAAGAGGGTTCCTGTTCGGTGCCCAAACAAGCCATGGAATTATCTCTCCAGTGAAGTTCACTAGGGATCCACACTGTTGTCCTTTCAGTGCCACGCTAAGATTTCCTTGTTTTCCCCAGGCATTTTAGAATCTCATTATTTCACTTCTTCTGGTATGGCATGTAGATCCAGCTCCTATATTTCCTGTTTGTCTTTTAGCTGCTGTGATTCAAGTTGTTTTATTGCATCAGTCTTTCGGTATTTCAGTTTTAAGTGAGGCTACATCGCTTAGAGTAATGGGTTTTCTGTTGTATTATTTTGATTGATTTTGGACAACGCCTTGTTTTATGGTTTCACATATATTAAATAGTAAACAAATACCTTTGCATAGCTACTGGGTCATTGAGTTTTGCTCCAGGAATTTAGCAAACTAAATAATAATAATAATAATAATAATAATAATAATAATAATAATAGTGACATTTCAGCTGAAACCCTGAAGCAAAATGAAAGGCCAAACAATTTTGGGGAAAATCTGAGGACATACAGTTTTGACCTGGAGGGACCTTTATGGGAGTTGTAGTTCAACAACCACTTGGGAGCCAAATGTTCACCACACCGGCTCTAGCTGATTTCGTCTTTACACAATAACATAAAAAGGTAAAGGACCCCTGACAGTTAAGTCCAGTCACGAACGACTCTGGGGTTGTGGCGCTCATCTCACTTTACAGGCCGAGGGAGCCGATGTTTGTCTGCAGACAGTTTTTCCGGGTCATGTGGTCAGCATGACTAAGCCACTTCTGGAAACCAGAGCAGCGCACGGAAATGCCGTTTACCTTCCCGCCGGAGCGGTACCTATTTATCTACTTGCACTTTGATCTGCTTTTGAACTGCTAGGTTGGCAGGAGCTGGAACTGAACAACGGGAGCGCACCCCATCACAGGGATTCGAACCGCTGACCTTCCGATCGGCAAGCCCAGAGGCTCAGTAGTTTACACCACAGTGCCACCCGCGCCCTCTACAATAACATAGGAAGCTGCTTTTTACTCACTCCTGTCAACATGAAGTGGCAGAGGCTTCCCAGGGTTTCAGGCAGGAATTGTTGTCCTAGTCCACCATCTACAAAATCTTGATTTTCAGTGCATATAAGCACATTATGTAAAGCTGGATGTTATCCAGTGTCCAAAAATGAGCCAGATTAAATGATACCTGTCCCTTAATTTCAGTGCTGCTGCAGTGCTTCTGGAACATCTTATTAGGTTCCTTCTTTCATTTCTTTTAGACAGAGGTTTAAACTCCCCCCCCCCCCGTGCCGGGAGGGTTTGATATATACTTTTGGTGCTGTTTCAGCCCATCTTTCCACTGCTGCTTTTAAACTGGTGCTGTGCTTTTCATTGATTAGTTTAATGTTCAAATCTTCTTGTGTATTTTTGTGCTGTAAAACTACAGCACTCTGGGTACTGTATGAGCAAAAGAGCAGGCACAACAGCAGTACTGCAAATATGGCCATACTACCCTGAACATGCCCGATCTCGTCTGATCTCGGAAGCTAAGCAGGGTCAGGCCTGGTTAGTACTTGGATGGGAGACCGCCTGGGAATACCGGGTGCTGTAGGCTTTTTCTTTGTTTCCTGCTTGGCAGGGGGTTGGACTCGATGGCCCTTGTGGTCTCTTCCAGCTCTATGATTCTATGACTAATACTACTGCAATTTTTAGTAGTAATAGGGAAAGGAAATGCTCTTCATCACTAGTCAATCCTAGATTTAGGCTGTAATCTAAATCCATTTTGCACTGAGCTGGAATCAGGGTTTGGATAGGGCGGGTGCGTCCCTCTTCCTAGTCACCTCTGACAGCTTCCACCCATGGAGTGATGCTTGCACCACTCCTCCAGTATGGCACACTGGCTTCTTCACTCCAGATTCACAGGTGGAAGTACCACTAGTGGAATCTCTGCTGATAGCAGCCCACAAAAATTCTTTGGAAGAAGCCACATGCTTTCAATGTATGGTCTAGATGTGACCACATCCTCTGAATGAACAGTGCCAGTGTGCAAATGCACCCACTGCATTCTGCCCAAAACGACATAGCTAGCTATATATAAATATTTATTGAACTCTAGTACTGAACTCTAAGGAAACCAGTTCCCTATGTTTGGGACAGGCACTCACTGTACAGAACTCTGGCTATGGGATATATGATATCACAAGCCTCTTCTTCCTCAGATAAACTTGCAAGTGCTGTTTTCAAATATTTTAAAAGAGCAAGTTGCATGCCTGAACCATGGTGAGAGGGAGAGGTGCATATATAAAGAAGGCAAGTCAGTCAACAAACACTATCTTAATTAATGAATAAAGCTACCAAGGGCATTGCAATGGTGCTGGTGGGGAGAAAACACCAGACTCATTCTGCAAAATAAAATAAAAAACCCAGCGAATTACCTTCTAAAGCGATTGAGAGGCATTGCAGTGTACAGGCTACAGTGGTGAACTTGGACTGAAAGGACTCCCTTTGAGCCACAAAGCTCACTGAGGAACCTTCAACTGCTCACCATCTCTCAACTGATCCTACTTCACAAGGTTATTGTAAAGATAAAATGTGGGGGAGGGACCATATACACAGCTTGCCACCTTAAATAAGGCTTACAGCCAGCTAAGCAGCCCACAGAACTTAACCCTAAATATAGTAAATGAAGTTACAGATAGGTAGCCGTGTTGGTCTGCCATAGTCAAAACAAAAAAATTCCTTCCAGTAGCACCTTAAAGAGTTCCCTACTGAACTGAAGAATCTGAAGTGTATCTGAAGAAGTGTGCATGCACACGAAAGCTCATACCAAGAACTAACTTAGTTGGTCTTTAAGGTGCTACTGGAAGGAATAGTAAATGAATATTGGCATGTTCTGTAATATATGATGCATAAAATATGGTTGCTTAGTGCTGATCTTTTGATGTTAATTGCAATGCTGTCCATATATTTCCAAGTGTCTCTGCCTATGATCACGAGGACTACCAACTTGATGTTTTTCAAAAACTGAAACTATGGAGATTCTCTGGATTGTGGGGAAATCAGAATTTAGTTAGACTTCCTTGCCCTCCACTACTATTCCCCCATTTTTCTGTTCTTTTAAAATTGCTTATTTCTATAGCAGCCTACTGACACAGATCGAAATAACGCAAGGAAATCAGACCTTGTTACGTGTTGCAATCAGTCTATGTTTTATTGTTGATATATTTTTTCTGTACTTGATTTGATTTTCTTTCATGCATATAGTATACATTGTGCAATTTGTGGGTTGTTGTTTTTCTTCTTAAGATAACCGAGATCAGAGCTGGGATGAAACATAACCAGCTGAATGGAGCACTTTATGGAATCATTGGAATGCACCCAAATGGTCATCTAGCTACATCCCTGACACATGGTCTTCCAACCTCTGTTTAGCGAGGAATTGAAAGAAAGAAGATTTACTAACTATCAAAGAATGGCAGATGAAGATGATAGACTACCGGTATATGGAATTGCCGAACTGACTGGGAGACTCTGAAACCAGAGAGAAGAGACAGTGGAAGAAGACTGGAAGAAGTTTAAAGAATATTTGAAAAAATATATTAATATTATATCTTAGAATAGCTTTGGAAGTGGATATAGGCTGTAGGGTTTTGTTGTTGTTGTTGTTGTTTAGTTGTTTAGTCATGTCCGACTCTTCGTGACCCCATGGACCAGAGCATGCCAGGCACTCCTGTCTTCCACTGCCTCCCGCAGCTTGGTCAAACTTATGTTCGTAGCTTTGAGAACAGTGTCCAACCATCTCGTCCTCTGTCATCCCCTTCTCCTTGTGCCCTCAATCTTTCCCAACATCAGGGTCTCTTCCAGGGAGTCTTCTCTTCTCATGAGGTGGCCAAAGTATTGGAGCCTCAGCTTCATGATCTGTCCTTCCAGTGAGCACTCAGGGCTGATTTCCTTCAGAATGGATAGGTTTGATCTTCTTGCAGTCCATGGGACTCTCAAGAGTCTCCTCCAGCACCATAATTCAAAAGCATCAATTCTTCGGCGATCAGCCTTCTTTATGGTCCAGCTCTCACTTCCATACATCACTACTGGGAAAACCATAGTTTTAACTATACGGACCTTTGTTGGCAAGGTGATGTCTCTGCTTTTTAAGATGCTGTGTAGGGTAGGGTTAGAAGTAGAATATAGTGTATTTTAAAATATTATTTGTAAGGGATAAAATGTGAAGATTTTTAAGGTAAAAGTAAGTGTGATAAAAAATGGTTAAAAATTAAGATATATGTAAACTGCTAAAGATGAGCTAAAATGAGAATCAGATAGGGGGTGACTTGGGGAAGCTTACCTAACAATGTTTAGAAAAAATAAGGATAAGTCAAGAATTTGTTTGTATTGTTTGGTTTTCTGTTTATGTTGTTCAATTGTGTTATAAAATGAATAATGTTTTTGGAAAAAATAAAACAAAATCCTTCCGTGAAGGAGAATCCACCACCTTCCATGGGAGTCCATTCCAGTGTTGAACAGCTCTGTCAGAAAGTTGTTCCTGGTGAATCTCCTTTCTTGTAACTTGAAGCCATTGGTTTGGATCCTACCCTCTGGAGCAGCAGAAAACAAGCTTGCTCCGTGTGACAGCCCTTCAGATATTTGAAGATGGCTATCATATCACCTCTCAGTCTCCTCTTTAGTAATGTTTGTATTTTGAGTTGCATACCGGTGGGGGCAGGGGAGAACTGTGATCTTTTTGGTGTTTAGGGCCTCTAAAGGTCTTAATCTGGCCCTGTACAGGGCAAACCTTTGCTGCGGTAATCTCCTCCTCTGCTGTTTGATGGCAGGAGTTAGTTTCAAGGGCCACGGGAACAATGGCTTTCCTTCAGTCCTTGCCCTCCTCTTGCGAGGGCTATAGAGAACATCTGACAGTGAAAATCCTCTCCTCTTTTAAGTTAAACAGCTGCAAAGATTTCAGCAATCTCTGTAATCCCCAAGGTGTAATCCCACAGTAAGGAAACTCGCTTCTCTTAAATACCTCCCTCTGGCATAATTGACTTTTCATGCACATTTTAATAATGATATTTCAGCAGGTTGAGAGAGTCTCTCTCTCCCCACCTTCTTCAAATTATGCTGCGGACACAGGGGGCGGGGAGAGACTGTATTGTAAACTTAATGACGAATTCCTCTCCTCCTGAACAAATAGGTAGAATGCCCTTGTGCATGTCTGTCTGTGTACAGACATACATATAGGAGGGGGCATTTAAGGTGCTCTCCTCCAATATTTTACCACTTACTTAACTCATTAAAGGAAGATACTAAAACGGTGTCTAAATCAATAAATGGAAATGTCTTTTTTACCATTCACTGGGGGAAACGAAACCCTCCTGTGAAATCTGGGGGACAGTGTGGTGTAGTGGTTAGAGTGTTGGACTAGAAGCTGGGAAACCAGGATTCAAAGCCCCACTCAGTCATTAAACTCACTGGGGGACCTTAGGCCAGTGACTGCCTCTCAGCCCAACCTACTTTACAGCTGTGAGGATTAAATGAGGGGGCTAACATTGAGCTCCTTGTGGTATAAATGCAAGCAACCACTTGGTCATGAAGGTAGGGAAGAATAGTCTCCAATTTTTTCAGGAGTGGCTTGCTACTTGCTTTACTTACCTTTTGAGGTGGCCAAGGGTTTTTCTTCTTCTTTATATGGCTTTATAATAACTATTTTAAAAAGTAACATCTACATCATAGTGATAAAGTTTCTCCCAGTAGCTCTCCACTGTTTTCACTTCTGGAAATGCCTTTGGATAGATATCCTGCTATAGTCCATTGTGTCCTATCCAAGGCATTTGAGGAACTGTTGTTTGTGGAAAGGGACACAAGGTTCTTCCCACAGGAACTTAACTGGGACCTAGTAAGACAGGTGTTTGGGAATACTGAACTACAGCTCCCATTAACCCAAGAAAGAATGGGCAATGGCCACCAGGGGTGGAGGTTGAAGTTCAGCAGCATTTGAAATATCAAAGGTTCCTCACACCTACAGGATGTGCCAAATCCCTTCTGGAATTTTTGGGAGAATTCTCCCCCTAAAAAGCAGTAAGAAAATATCCCCATGGGGGGGCGGTCAGCCTATCATTAGTGAGCCTGACCTTTGCTTCAGAAAGAGATAGACCTGGCAGAGAGATGTAACCAATGGCAGTTGGGTGAGAACCCCACTTCAAACCAGAATTCAGATTGATCTGGGCTCAGCTCATAATGCGGCACAGAATCCCCAAATTTCAAAATGCCCACCATAAATAGTGACAAACTTCAGCCAGTCAGATCCAGCTGCCCCCCATATTAGATGTAAAGTGCAAAGAAGGCTTAGACATCATAACTTTAAAAGAAGCATAACCTCCTTTCTCCCATCTCATGCTCACACAAATTCACAAGGAATTCAGACCAGGAAATGGTGCACACATGGTGCACACATAGATCTCCCCAATGTCTTACCTGTCCTCACTGTCAGTCTGAAAGGGGAAATTCAAGAAAGGGAAAAATCCAAGGGAGCGTGAAACTACTAGACTGCTCGAATCCTGCGCTGCTTTCAACTTATCTGAAATAAAAAGCATTAAGAGGCCATTTCTTCTCTGGCTAGTCTAATTGTTTTTCAATAGCCTAGGGTCAATTAAAGTCATTTTGATAGTGGCAAATAAGTGCATGTAGAAGCATCTCATTACCACTTTCAGGTTCATGGTAGCCCCTAAGCCAGGCTTCCTCAACCTCGGCCTTCCAGATGTTTTTGGCCTACAACCCCCATGATCCCTAGCTAGCAGGACCAGTGGTCAGGGATGATGGGAATTGTAATCTCAAAACATCTGGAGGGCCGAGGTTGAGGAAGCCTGCCGTAAGCCAAGTGAAATGGTAATGTTCAACCAATTAGATCTTCCCAAGTTGGTGTCAACATCAACATGGTTGGGCACTTGCTAAGACCCATGTTCCAGGAAGTGGGCGTACTGGCAAGAGCTCCCTGTACCTCCTCACAATTCCCCCCACCTGCTTGTTCACCTTGTCCTTTCTAGACCAGAGCTGGTGAGCATGCCATTTATGGTACTATGAAGACAAGGAACAGTCGCTACCAATATCCAGCGGCAAAGGAAGCAGCTCGGGGGCCTGGGGCGGTGCGCCCAGGGGTGGGACGAGCTACCCATAGGGGCAGGGTGAGGGTGGGGTGAGATGACCACAGGGGCAGGGTGCCCGGGGGGGCCTCCAGACTCTGCCTACCTCCTCCCACTCAGCTGCCCTACAGCTGGGGGGAGGCAGCAGATGGACCGTTTGGGCAGCGCAGAGCCTGCGCGCGCCCCAGCCACCACGTCTCTCCCAGGAGGGACATGTGGCTCGGGCGCACTGCAGGCCCTGTGGCGAGTGCCGCCCGGCATTTTGTCACCCCCTCAGTGGTGAGACCCGGGACATAATTTTATACAATTCTTCTGTACGAATATAATAACAAATTGTCCTTTATGTTCATACAAATAAAATTTCATAAAAAGAAGGGGAAAAGGGGGGGGGGAGAAAAAAGATTTCTATAAATAAACTTTTAAAAGCCTTCAAAAATTTTAATTTACTGTGTCTATTCTTTCCTTTATAATGCACAGAAGAAGAAGAAGAGTTTGGATTTGATATCCCGCCTTTCACTCCCCTTCCGGAGTCTCAAAGCGGCTAACAATCTCCTTTCCCTTCCTCCCCCACAACAAACACTCTGTGAGGTGAGTGGGGCTGAGAGACTTCAGAGAAGTGTGACTGGCCCAAGGTCACCCAGCAGCTGCAGGTGGAGGTGCGGGGAAGCGAACCCAGTTCACCAGATTACGAGTCTACCGCTCTTAACCACTACACCACACTGGCTCTCAATTTTCAGCCTCATATTACATTCAGTTATCTTCATATATCCTAACATAATATTATTTACAGTTTTTGTTTTGCAAGAATCAGTCTAGTTCTGCTAAGAGAATTTCATTCTTATAATGATTTTTAAAGTATTCTTTAAATATAAAAGTTATCAGGAAGAGTAAGAAACAACATGAAACAGAGAGTCAGTGAGGAATGGAGAATATTTAAAGGATCAATTATTGATTCCCATCAGCACTTGCTGTTGGAATGGCATTCTGTTCAATGGTTGGGATTGCACAGCCCAGTCCTGCCTTCCATGGAAGTTGACTAGTGTTAGACCCTGGCTACCATACAGGACAGGCCAGCATCCAGGATCCCACTGGGCAATCAGGGGAGACATTCTGGCCTGGCAGGACTCCACCTCGGCTAGGAGCATACTTTGAACCTATCTTTCCAGGCCCCTTATCCCCCCCCTTACTATTATGATCCTACCCAATACCATAACCACACAGAATTATTACAGAATGTTGAGAATGCTTAATATGATGAAGCACTCATTAAGAGCCAACTGACGTTGAGAGAAAAATCCCTTTCTGCTCCTGTTAATCACTGACCCAAGGAGCTCAGTGAGGCCACTAACATCACAGGTGGGCAGGTGCGATAGCTCACCGGGCAAAAAGTGCCCAATCTACTTGTGGGTGAAGCTTTTAAGCACTTGGCCTTTCCCACGCCATGTGAGCTCCCATGGGATAATACAACTTCTTGTAGACTCTTGCAAGGGCACTGTGGGAAACTTATGCCCCACCTGTCCACTGTCCCAGAGCCACTGAGTCATTGGCCAAAAATGCTCCATTTGCTTGGTGTGTGGAAGAGAACTTACTAGACCTTCAGCGGAAATTGAATGCTGTGGAATTACAAGAAACCACACTGGGCTGAGCAGTAGCTTTTTTATTTTATGTAGCCATGGAACCGACACCAAACGTGAACACTATAGAGAAATCACATTCGTCTGAAGATAGGCAAATGTTTACGTTGGGTTTTCTACATTTCCATGTCAGTTTGCTAGACCTCAAGAGACTTCATCAGCATTTTAGTGCAGATTTCTCCTCAAAAACATGCACATTTATTTTGTAAGTTGTTTATCCAACCCTAAATATTATTACAATCAATTTCCTCTAATGTAATGTGTGCTATTTTCACTAATATATGAATTTTTAAATGCACACTTTCTCCTAATATATACATTTGCATAGACATTATGTGGTTGGGGAAATACAGCACAAAATTCAGAGCAAGTGAGAATTTCAAAGGATAGCTGTCTTTCATTTCACAGATTGGTTTGGGGAAGTGTGAATTCAGTAGGTTCATGTTAAAAGTGAACTGAACTGAATTCCCCCTCCCACCCCTATCTCTCATGAATGTAATGTGTGAACAAGCCCACAGGTGTGCACTTCTGAGATCTCACTGAGGATGTGTGTTCCTGCGAAATCTACCAAGGCAACAAAACAGTCGGGTTAGCAATGGGGCTTGCCTGCCATCTGCTGTTCAAATAAAAGATAGAATGATTAAGAATAAATCCTTGAACAGACCATGGCCAGTTCAAACACTCTGTGGGAGTAACAGTTCTCAAAGCAGTAAAGCTGGGCACCACAGTTCAAGAAGGACACTGACAAACTGGAACGTGTCCAGAGGAGGGCAACCAAAATGGTCAAAGGCCTGGAAACGATGCCTTATGAGGAACGGCTAAGGGAGCTGGGCAGGTTTAGCCTGGAGAAGAGGAGGTTAAGGGGTGATATGATAGCCATGTTCAAATATATAAAAGGATGTCATATAGAGGAGGGAGAAAGGTTGTTTTCTGCTGCTCCAGAGAAGTGGACACGGAGCAATGGATCCAAACTACAAGAAAGCAGATTCCACCTAAACATTAGGAAGAACTTCCTGACAGTAAGAGCTGTTCGACAGTGGGATTTGCTGCCAAGGAGTGTGGTGGAGTCTCCTTCTTTGGAGGTCTTTAAGCAGAGGCTTGACAACCATATGTCAGGAGTGCTCTGATGGTGTTTCCTGCTTGGCAGGGGGTTGGACTCGATGGCCCTTGTGGTCTATTCCAACTCTATGATTCTATGATTCTAAGCTGGCATTAACTACAGCTTCACATACTCTGGGAGATAAATGTTCCTGTTTGATGAGCCTCTGTGCTCATCTTCATTAACCTAGTAGCCTCCGGATGTTTTGGACTACAACTTCCATCAGCCCCAGCCAGCAAGGATGGGCTTGATGGGAGCTGTGGTTCAAACACAGCTTCAAAAAAGCTGTGTAGAGCACCAGGTTGCTGAGGGCCACCCTGTGCTGTTTTAGCAACTTAGCACAAGCATGGCTCCCAGTAACAAAGACCCAAGTGGCTACAATTGTGCTCAGCAGTAGCTGGTAAAGCAGCCCAAACAATGAAGCAGCCATCTCCCTTTGCAGTAACCATCAGGAGGAATTCCCATCACTAAACACCAGAAGGTAGTGATTATGGAAGTAGAGGGTGCTTCAGTCAGGGCCATGCAAGCATGTGGTCCTAAAATTGGCTAGCCAATTGGCTCGCTGACAGCAGCCTGGTAAAGGATGGCTAGCCAATTGGCAATCTCATGCCCCTACAACCACTTTCTGATGCCCCTGCACACACTGGACTACAGTGGCAGCTCATGCTTGCCACTAAACAAAAACCCTACTTCAGCGAGGGCACCAAATAGATCTTAGACTTGGAGCCAGGTTCACCTCCCTAGGAAGAGCATTCCAAAAATGGAGAGCCGCTGCTGAAAAGGCCTTTTCTTGTGCCGTCTCCCTCTGTACCTTCCCCCGAATGGAGTCCTCTGAGAAGGGCTTCTGAAGATGGCAAGAGGGTCCAGGCAGGTTCATATGGGAAAGGGTAGTGGGGTCCTGAGCTATATAAGACTTGACAGGTTAAAATCAGCCCTTTGAATTTGGTATGGAAACCAAGCACAAGCTAGTGTAGACAGACCAGTGTTGTAAGCTTGGTCTTCCTTGTCATAGTTATAAGTCTGGCCACCAAATTAAGCTCCAGCTTCTGAACTATCTTCAAAGTCAGCCCCACATAGAATGCATTGCAGTAGTCTAGTCTAGTACTGCTATAAACTGCCTTTCCCCATGCATGTGGTGTTACTAAGCCACACAGCTACGAGCACAGGAGTCTCCTTTCCCCCGTATCTTTGGAGATATACATTTTATATCAAAATAAAATTAATAGATAACGGACTTGAAGGCTAGCTATGCAATCCACCTCTGACTTATACATGGTTAGTCCAGTCTGAAATGTAGGGAGAATTTACCAGAAAGGGAGATTGAGGCTTTTCTCGGGACTTTCATTTTGCAACGACACTTTACAATTAGCTCTGGATTCCGAATGTCACTGTGGCATTGTCTACAGTAATACCGTGCCCTAGACAACAAAGGAAAAGAAAAATCATCTGGATTAAATTTAACAGGACAGAAAATAGTCAGAACAGTTATTTGTATGTATGCATTTCCTTGTTTATTTGGGCATTGCATTGCATTTATATCCTACCCTTTTCTCCAAGGAGCTCAAGGTGGTGTAGATGGTCCACCCACCCCACCCCACATTTAGTCTCCAAAGCAACCCTGTGAAGTAGGTTAGGCTTACAGGCAGTGACTGGTCCAAGGTCACCCAGTGAGCTCCCAGCCAAGTGGAGATTTCAACTGGTAATTTGAACCACTCTAACCCCACACCTGGGATGCAGGTGGTGCTGTGGGTTAAACCACAAAGCCTAGGACTTGCTGAAGGTTGGCAGTTCGAATCCCTGTGACGGGGTGAGCTCCCATTGTTCGGTCGTCAAAGTGCAAGTAGATAAATAGGTACCACTCCCGCAGGAAGGTAAACGGCATTTCCGTGTGCTGCTCTGGTTTGCCAGAAGCGGCTTAGTCATGCTGGCCACATGACCCGGCCAATAAAGCGAGATGAGTGCAGCAACCCCAGAGTCGGCCATGACTGGAACTAATGGTCAGGGGTCCCTTTACCTTTAACCCCACACTGGCTGTCTTTTCTTTCGTTGTTTTGTTTTTGCCTGCTTTTCAACATAGGTTCACAATGCATGATAACATTTTAAAAAAGCAACCATAAAACTCATTGAAAATAGAAAAAGTAAGAATTCTTGAATGCTTCCAGAATATGTGTACCTCAACCTATTTTAATTTTCTAAATGCTTCCAGAATAAAGTTTCTGTTTTGGTTTTTAATATATTTCATAAGGCTAGTTGTATGTGGAAAACAGGTGATAATGAAAAAAATGTATCTAGTTGTGTGTGGCAAGGGGGGGGGGGAGAGATCGTTCTGAACAGTCTGGACAAAAGTGTCAAGGGAATTTGACTTTTGGGAAAGCGACAGTTAGGGAAATTAGGCCAGGGGGTGGAGAGGAGGGAGAAGGAACGGTGGGGTCTTGTGAGGATGAAGAGAATGTTATTATAAATTTGGGAAGTGCATCGGATGAGGGGAGATTGGAATCAAAGTCCTGGGGGTGACTATGGTGGACAAAGATGGAAAGTGAGGGGGACAGAATGCTTTGTAAGGTACAGAGAGATCTGGTAGAAAGGACTCCAATGTTGATTCATTTTATGGGAAAAGATACAGGCCTGTAAGAATGTTATATGGTGGAGAAAATTACTTCATTTCACCTCTCCCAATTCTGGGAATAGTAGTGAAATGTGTGTGGGGGGAGAGAAATGGCGGTCAGGCATGTCATTCAGGAATGTATATCCTTATATGTCTGGTGTGGGAAATCTTTGACCCTCAATATATTGCTGAATTCCTATTCCCATCATCTCTGGCCATTGACCATGCATGCTGGGCTGATAAGAGTTATAGATCAGCAACATCTGGAAGACCAAAAGTTCCCCACACCTATTATATATGTTGTGCATGAGTCAAGGCTGTCTTTGTGTTGGGGAGGATATGTGCATTTTGTTGCATGCTTTCCCTGACAATATGCCTTTTGTAGCATTTTTTTAAAAATAACGCAATCACAAAATTTGTGCAAATTTCAAAGGGCAGAATTGTGTGGGTTTGCATATTGTTTGGAAACTGCAAATTAGGTAGGTTCACATTTAAATGTGAGATTCATCCGCATCTGTATTCACTTGTATATATAAACGATGAGAGTTTCCCTCCTTTGGTTGTGAAACACAGCACAAAATAATACTGTTACAAAAAACACCTGCCCAATGTTTGACATCCACTCCAATGTTTAACAACTTAGAATACAGTTCAAATATGGATGCAAGTAATTAAAGAAATTACCTTCTGAGTTGCGCTGCAGATTTGGCGATGAAAAAGCCCATTGTGTCGAAATGGAGTTTAATAATGGAAGGTGGATTGATCAGGATGCTATTGTAAAACAGTTTGAGAACAACAAGAAATGTCATTTAAGCCTCCCTTAGTTTACTGTTTAAACATTTGTATTAAATCTGTACAGCTGCTACATGCAGAATCAGAGACTAGGAGGTGATGGGGAAAGATGATCTTTAGGGCAAACAGAGGGTGCAAATGCAGATTTGTCCAGGATAACTTGGAAGAGCTTCCCCAGTTTACTGAATTCAGTGTCTCCAACAAAATAACTCCAATATTCTATCCTGGTGACCTACGTCTTCTATGGAAGGCAAATATTTACATGAGCAAAAAAAGAGAAAAAAGTAGAGAAGCCTTGGATGTAGTGCCAAGACCTTAGCAACTAATCTGATTGTTCCATCTGCCAAGTGGGGTGACTACTCAATGAGCCAAAAAAAGCAGGCAGAGACTGAATTGGGTTTAAATCAGGGGCAGAAAACCTGTTTCCTCCAAATGTAGTTGGACTCCAACTCTCACCAGGCCCCTGCCAACACCAGGGAAAGATAGGATCTGTAGTCCAGCAAGGGGCGTAAGTACCCCATCTCTACTCAAAGTAAGTGAATCTGCTATCACATCCAGAGTTTCACCACTTGAATTCCCTACATAGGCATTAAACATAGAATCATAGAATTATAGACTTGGAAGATACCCTAAGAATCACCTAATCCAACCCCTGAAATGCAGGAACATGCAGCCATCCCATACAGGGATTGAACCTGAAACCTTGGTGCTATTAGCACCATGCTCTAACCAACTGAGCTATCCAGGCTGACATAATGGAGTGGTGTTTTGCCTTTTCAAAAGCTCGCCCACACTTCCGTTTGTGTCACCCCTGAAAAGACCCACTCTTTAGCGATAGATCAGAATAAACGGCAATCCAGGGCAAGTCTCGATTGCAATTTACTCCAATTAAACTCTAAAAAGCAGTTTTCCCTGGAGGAAAGCAGTGGGACAAGTATGGATAAGCCCCATGGGCTTCTGCTGGAGATAAGAAGAAAAATGTGTTTGGGAGGGGTTATGCTGGAAGAACAAAGATGCTTTAGATCTGATGCTAGCAGAGTTGGGGCAATTTTGTAATGTACAGCCTCCCCTTGGCATGGCTACTCTGAGGCCCAATGTGGCTCTCTTGTCCCAGTTTATCTATACAGAAGAAGAAGAAGAAGAAGAAGAAGAAGAGAGGAGGAGGAGGAGGAGGAGGAGGAGGAGGAGGAGGAGGAGGAGGAGTAGTAGTAGTAGTTTGGATTTGATATCCCGCTTTATCACTACCTGAAGGAGTCTCAAAGCGGCTAACATTCTCCTTTCCCTTCCTCCCCCACAACAAACACTCTGTGAGGTGAGTGGGGCTGAGAGACTTCAGAGAAGTGTGACTAGCCCAAGGTCACCCAGCAGCTGCATGTGGAGGAGCGGGAAATCGAACCCGGTTCACCAGATTACGAGTCCACCGCTCTTAACCACTACACCACACTGGCTCTCATATTTCTTCCTCTGCTTTTCTGTAGTCTCACAGCAATCTGTCGTGCTCAGGTCCTAGGCAGGTTGCTCTGGCCATGGTGACATTCCAACCCAAAGATTTTATGATATCATAGTTAATCCTGCTAAATGCAAGAAGTTCAGAAGGAGAGGTGCCCACCTATTTCCTTGCATGCCAGATCGAAACTCGATAGCAAGCAGCATGAGATCCAGCTTCAAAAAGCACAATCTAAGAAAGAGATTAGTTTGTGTTATTGACAAAGGAACAAGCAAGTGAAGAAAGGAGGGGAATCTGGGGGATTCAGAGTAGCAACCATTGCTGAAAACTGCATCAGTTCTTAAAACCTGCTGGAGACATTTGCGCAACAGGTAAAACACAATGTGAGCGAGCTGTCCCATGAGCTCTACTTGGGAAAAAATGATTATTATGCATGAGTGAAGAGCGAGACCATGTCATCACACACTAGACACATCCATTGGCTTCCTTTGCTTACAACACAAACCCCTGGATGAAATGAGGCTCATAAGCAACAAGACTTCTGAATACCAGTGGCTGTGAAGCATGAGTAGGACAGTGTTGTTGTGCTCATGTCATGTTTGTGGGCTTCCCATAGATATCTGATTTGTCACTGTGGGAACAGAATGCTGGACAAGATGAGTCTGGTGTGACCCAGTAAAGATTTCATGTTCTTACTAATCAACTAAGGCAGTGGTGGTTGGAAATCCTGGACTTACTGGGCCACGTCTTTGAAGGACATGTCAATAAAATCGTTGGATAGAAGCTGAGTCATCACTTTATAATCCTGGCCTTCTATTTCATGTAGGTGCTTATTCAAAGTGAGCAGTTTCTGTAACAAATATCATCATTGTCATCATCATCTGGCCAACTAACAACATCTAACAACTAAGTTAGATGAAATGCACTCTGCTTTTATAAGTTTGCTGATTGCTTGCTGTTTTAACACTTTGATTTCACTGTCAATTTTTGTTGTTGTTTAACTGCTTCAAGAACATTACTGTACCATTGATATAAATAGATATAACAAACATTTATTTTATTAAACCTTGTTCTAGCCTTGTTGCATTCAAATATATATGACCATACACCCACACACCGTATTTTTCAGTGTATATGGCTATTTTTTCCTAAATTTTTGAAGTTTAAAATAAGGGGTCGTCTTATATACAGATAGTGCATAGTGTATTTTCTTAATTTTTGGATTAAAAAAAAATAGGGGTCGTCTTATACATGAGGGCATCTTATACACAGAAAAATATGGTGTATGTGTGTGTACACACACACACACACACACACACACAGTGGTACCTCGGGTTAAGAACTTAATTCGTTCTAGAGGTCCGTTCTTAACCTGAGGTACCACTTTAGCTAATGGGGTCTCCAGCTGCCGCTGCGCTGCTGGCACACAATTTGTGTTCTCATCCTGAAGCAAAGTTCTTAACCCGAGGTACTATTTTTGGGTTAGCGGCGTCTGTAACCTGAAGCGTCTGTAACCTGAAGCATATGTAACCCGAGGTACCACTGTATAGTAATATATATTTGACCATATCTAACTATTGCCATATATATTTGACGGTATCTATCACCATGTGTTTTGTCATTTGAAGTACTGAGGGGAAGATTGGCTGGTGTCTCATACCAAGATAGGCTGTGCCCATGTTCCCAGGATGTTGAATGTATGAAGCATATTTTATTATAATGTAGTCTGTATAAACAGGTCAGACAGCACCTAATCAATCCAATATTAACAGAACAACCTGGAATTGCTGGCTCTTTTCATGTCAATGTTCTTCTTGAGAATAAGATTGATGCTATTACACTGGCTGTAGCAAAATTTCTCTCAGAGGCAGTAAAAATCAGAAATCAGTATGTATAGGCTAAAGCTCCTCTGTTGCCTAGCAAGGCCAAACTTACACCTTATTAACTGTTGATATATACTATTGTTGCACTGTGTACGTTGAGTCTACGGACAGCAAAAAAGCTGTGTGTGTCTATAGTGATACAGAGATAAAAGGGGGAAAGTGAGGGAGGACAGCAAAGATGTGAGAGGTGTGTGTGTGTGTGTGTGTGTGTGTGTGTGCACGCACACAGGCACATGTGTGTGCAATGTAATATACTGCCATATATTATTATATAATCTGGGAGTTGCATTCTGATCTACAGTGGTACCTTGGGTTACATACACTTTAGGTTACAGACGCTTCAGGTTACAGACTCCGCTAACCCAAAAATAGTACCTCGGGTTAAGAACTTTGCTTCAGGATGAGAACAGAAATCGTGCTCCAGCGGCGTGCCGGCAGCAGGAGGCCCCATTGGCTAAAGCGGTGCTTCAGGTTAAGAACAGTTTTAGGTTAAGAACGGACCTCCGGAATGAATTAAGTACAGTGGTGCCTCGCAAGACGAAATTAATCCGTTCTGCGAGTCTCTTCGTCTTGCGGTTTTTTCGTCTTGCGAAGCACAGCTATTAGCGGCTTAGCGGCTATTAACGGCTTAGCGGCTATTAGCGGCTTAGCGGCTATTAACGGCTTAGCGGCTTTAAGAAAAAGGAAACAAACTCGCAAGCACTCGCAAGACATTTCGTCTTGCGAAGCAAGCCCATAGGGAAATTCGTCTTGCGGAACGACTCAAAAAACGGAAAACCCTTTCGTCTAGCGAGTTTTTCGTCTTGCGAGGCATTCGTCTTGCGGGGCACCACTGTACTTAACCCGAGGTACCACTGTACAAGTAAGTTTGGGAGTGTCAGGTATGGAGAGTCCACTGCAAAAAGCAGACCAAAGAAATTCCTTCTGCATCCCTAGCTGCTATCCAGGTATCTAGAGGGCTGTAGGTTCTATGGAGAATCACCCTATCCCATAGTGATATCCAAACCTGTAAAATATATATCTGTTCTTTATTTAACTGTAAACAGTGGAACAGCTGTACTGATAAATCTGCAGTAAGGAAGGCTCTGGTTAACTCAACACCCATTAAAGAATTGGAAAATGAATTACCTTGGAGTCTTCCCTAATGAACAGACTGGTCAACAGTGTAGTCAAGCCGGGCACCACACAACTCTGTGCTATTAACGCAAGTTTGAGCTCAGCAAAGCAGATTATACTATCCCCTCTCCTCCAGTCCCAGTTGGGGATCTTTGGAAGGTAGACCTGTTTCAGGGAAATGTGGAAGGATGAGAAACAGCAGAATATTAAGTTTCCAATTAAAACAGACAAGCAGGAGGAGTATGTGGCCACTAAGGAAGTGACACCCACCCTGGAAGGATGTCAAGAAAGGAAGGTGGCCCTCAGGCTGGAAACATTTCCCCACCACTGGTTTCTAAGCACACAGTTTTACATTCATTTGCAGCATTTTGTTGGTGTCTGAGTCACTAAGGCATCACATGACACTTTGGAACAACCTCACTTCAACTTGGGGTGGTGCCTGAGACATTCCAAGAATATCTCTGAGTTACCACACTTTGGTTTAGGATTTGGGATTCGTCTGCAGCTGATATACACCACAGATAAATAGACAGCCCCACCTTGTTAGACGACTGGATGATCTGTATTATGACTTTGGTGTTTGGGAAGTGATTCTTGATGGACAGTACCCTGAATGAAAAAGAAAATAGTTGTAGTTCCAGAACCATGAATCCCACCCACCCACAGAATCAGAAGAAATGAATCATGTTCACTAACACATTCTATTTCGAATGTTCTGCTTCTGAGATCCATGCTGAGGGTATTTTTTTTAAAAAAATAAAAATCATAAGCCAATGTGAAAACTAAACTTATCATTGGAAAAATTAAAAATTGAGAGAAACTAGGATTGACAGACTTCTCCATGCTTAATCTTGATACAGTATGTATTATACAGATGACTGAGACCCAGTTTTCACTAATGTATTATGCCTAAATCTCATTTCAGCCACTCCAAATTGCAGGTAGTGACTTACATAAAGGAATAGCCCTCCATTAAAAATATTCTTCTCAGAGAGTAAGGTTTTAGCAAACAAAATTGGTAGATCAAGAAGATGGCTATGTTCAGAGCTTTCTTTACAAATAAATAGATAGATGCATTCACAACTGTGTAATTCTCCACAAGCAATCTAATGTGATTCACTCCACACACAGGTGTACTAGAACTAGGCCTGTATCTGCTCTACATAACAACATGAAAAATGAATCTGAAAAGCAGAGTTTAGCTCTAGAAAACCTACATATCACCTGGTCTTTCCTGGCTTATTCCTATTCAAAAAATGAAAGAATAAGCAACCTACAAGACAATTTTTTAAGATGGTTTGGGTTTATGGTTTCAAAGCTTTACTAACAGAACTTGTTCCAAAACAGACACAAAACAATCAATGTTACATCCAGAAAGTTGTATAAAATCACATGTTTGTCTAAGTATAGGTTCAGCTTCTTACAAATATAAAATAACTATGATCAGAGTTAAAAACAAAGCTCTGTCCTTCTCGTAGCCTGCATTCCAGCCTAAGGCGATGTTCTCCTGAAGAGAAATCATTATCCCATCTTTTGTCCTCTGTGGCTTTCAGAAAAAGAACAACACTCCTCAAAATGGCTGTTTGCAACTGAATAAGTTTTTCATGTGATCTAAAGTTAAACACCACATGAGAGAGCAGAGCAGAGATACTTTAACAGTTAAACACTAACCCATTAGAGAGCTTTTCTTTAACTCCTATGGCAATTCCCATACCTCTTTAGCAATACGTAGAGAATCTTTTTCTATTTCAATGTACAATTAAACTATTATACTTAACACTATCCCCCCCCAGCAAAAAAACCCCCTGTCTTACCTCATGATGTTAGTAGTATCCTCGATATAGGGGTTGGCAGAACATGTGTCAGCCAAGACGAGACATGCTTCAGCTTTCCCCATCTATTTCTCAACAAGAGAAGAGAGGGGAGGCTAGAAGTAAACTGGCAGCCTAATCTTATTCATATTTACTTTAAAGTAAATCTGTGTTCAGCTGGGCTTAGTCCACCCTTACATCTGAACAGGACTGCAGCCTCACCTTTGTACAAGCACTGCTGTTAATAAAAGTCTGGCTCTAATTTGAGCTGAGCCTGACTCACAAATAGGAGTTGCTCTCTGCCATTATCAACCCTCCCACCATCAACTAAGAGAAGGGATTCGGGAAAATGTAATCCTCTCCAATTTGATACTCCATTCACAGGCAGCAGCAAATTGGAAAAGCACATTTTGGTGGTTTTCTTTTCTTTTTCAGGGGAGGACAAAAATATTGAAATTATTTATCAGGAGTGAAGCCTGAGGTCTTCTCTGCTTTTCTAAATTTCCTCCTTTATTTTAAGCTTCACTGCTGCATCAGAGCTCCTCTCAGTAGCCTCAGGCTGACAACCCCTACAACCTAATGGGAGGGTGTGGTAGCACTTGGGTGTGTGTGTGTGAATGTCTGCTTCCAGACCCTCCCTCCATCAGTTCACATGATCCAAATTCAGCTGAATTGTGCAATACATTAAAGAAACAAACGCTCATATAAAGAGAATGGTAAGTTGCAAGGGCAAATATCTGTAGTGGGCAATTGTGAATGTTTCCCAACAGAATAGGGTAGGAATGGGGAATGTGTGGCATTCTGGAGGTTGCTGGAATCCAACTTCCATTCTTGTTGGCCTACTAACTGGGGCTGATGGGAGTTTGAGTGTAACAACATCTGGTGGGCCAAAGATTCCTCATCCTTGGACTAGAAGAAGCTGCCAAATAATGGATGAAACCATTGACCCAGCTAGCTAAGCATCTACACTGAATCAGCAGCCACTGCTGCTACAATATAGCTATAATAACTATATACTGTACTGTATATATTGCCCCTTAGGAACAAATCACATGCTTTGGTTTAGTTTCAGTTTCCACTCTGGCTGTTGACAGTGTTGTTTTTTATGCCTAGGCAGGAATCAGAACAAAAGTTATTCCGTGGTTCTGATAAAGTTTTCAACTCTTAGTTACTGGCTGTTCATATAGTTACTACTCAAGCTTTGCAGGATAAATATTGGGGGAAAGTTCTGCTCATTCTGCATTTCTTTTCAACTCTGCCCGAGACTCACAGGGACTTGGGATCAACTCAAAATGGAGTGTTACTTTCCTAGTGCAGGAAGATTATTTCCAACTCAAACTCAGTAAACACCTGCAAATTACAAGCAGGGCTGTCGCTCAGTAGTATAAAATCTGCTTGGCACACAGAAAGTCCCACACTCATCTCTGGCATTTCAAAGTTAAGATTGGGAACCTCAACTGCTGCAGTATGGACAACGCTGAACTAGATGAGCAATTGTCTGACTTGGTATAATGCAGCTTCCCATATTTCTATCATTCCTTTGGTTCTGCAAAAGAGAATTCACAGCTAAGGCACTCTTCCATTAGACTCTGTTTGTGAATAAGAAGAGGAAGTCCTACCTGAACTCTCTGCAGATCTTCAGTCTTCATCACAGAACCTTGGAAGAAAGTGGAATATGCAGCATAACATCTGAATATAGTTTCCAGTTCCAGACCTGGATCACTTCTAGATAGGAGAAATGTATGCAGAGAGAATGAAGGTGTCCATCAATTCCTGAGAATGAATATATATATTCATATATATATAGGCCTGTGATTCTGTGTCGATGCTTAGAATTTACTAGTGAACTGGTTAAACCATTTGTGAAGGTGATGGTCTTGGCTGGCCTCATCAGCATCTTAAAGAGATGTCTTGCCAAAGTGACAACTGATTATGCTTTCAGGAGGGAAGCCTGCCCCGCCACCCCCACTTGGCTGGATGCCAGGTCATCTGATGAAGGAAGACAATAGGACAGAGGAATTTGTTTTTGGTGTTTGAGTTTTGACTGGGTTGGAAGCTGGTGAGAAAGGCTTGACTTTCTAGGCTGTGCTGAATCCAAGTGTATGCCTGGGGGGCTAGGAACAAAATGGGGAGGAAAGGTCTGTTGGAATGTTAGTGCTGTGAGACCTTCTATCCTATGCTCAGGTTGTACACGTGTATAAATAAAACCATAAATGCTACAAACATCATAGTCTCAGTTGACCTCCATCCCAAGGAAACTGAACCCTGAGTAAGCACTGCGGCACCCCTGGAGTCTCTCACCACTCAGATACTGGGGTATGTGCAACAATATATGCTTGCTTTTTCAGTACCGTTCTAAACATCTGCAGTAACACCCTTGGAAGAAAATGTGTGTGTTTGTGTGTGTGTGTGTGTGTGTAGCTGGAGCAACAAGAGTGAAACAAGTACTAAATCAAGTAATAATTTTGCCCATCCTGAAAAGTTCAAACCCATCATTCCCTTTCAGCAAGGCAAGGTCCCATTGAAAATTAACCAAGAGTATTTTGTTTGTATTTCTCAAGTACTTCCAACCCTACCTCCTTCTGTCAGTCACCCAGAAAAGGGATCCTTGCTAAAATAAGTGGAGGGAGTGTCCCCCTATGGTTGGGCCTTTGACCTGTGGCAAAACAGCTAAGGATGTCTCAGGAATTGTGCAGTTGTGTCTTCTTATGAAATGTTACTCAGGTACCAGCTCAGATACTTTATGCATCCATAGGTAAGAGAGTGGTTTTGGCTGTTTCTGTGTTGCTTGCTCAATAAAGTAGTAAGAGATAGTTTTTCCCCCTGCAATTTCATTGTGACAGTCAGCCACACTTGCTGAGTGCTTTGCTTTGCTTGCACCCGAAACATTTGGTGCAGCACTAAAGAAGGTTAGCATTATATGTTCACACAATGCAAGGTAGTTAAGAATGGTGGTTGTGTTGCTAGTAGATGCAAGAATTAATGCAATTTCCACTCCAGGAATCTGGATGGTATGTATTTTTCCCCCATTGAAATCAATGTGATATACTTACTCTCCCAAAAAGACAATCTCAGTGGCAACCTGCCCAGAGCCTGGGGCTAAAAAGTCCCTTAGGAAAGTAGTTACGCTGTGCAGAGTGATATAACCACAGACCACAATATATCTGCAGGAAGAAGAAATGTCCACAGATCATTTTCTTGTCTGGAAAATGTAGCACAACACTACAAATTAGGAAACTGCAGACCAACGTAGCTGCCACCAAGACAATCCAAATCTATATTGAAGTCTGCTTAGAAGCTTTTGTTAATTAAGCAGTATATAATTCTTAAGAAAATAATAATACAATAAATATTGCAAATTGAGATGTATGCATGTTCACACACAAATATACCCCACTGAATAAATGAATCTTACTCCCACGTAGGCATATAGAAGCTCCTTGTCGAAATTTGATTGATTTTGCTATTTATCTATTTTAAAAGTAATTGTGTTTTATCAACCAATATCTAAGGTACTTTTTTATTTAATGAAGGGACAAAAGTAGGTTGAAATCTAAAGTTCTGTACTTCACATTGCTCCACCCCCAAACATCTGCATGTAGTGCTGTCAGGCTGGGACTCAACTATGCTTCAGTGCTTTGCGATTTATATGCTGCACCAGAGCATAGAAAACATTATTTGAAAGCAAGATTCTACTGCCCTAATCTACATTCATTTAGAGAAAACAGCATTTCTTGTTCAAATAGCAGGGGTAAAAAGATTTCCCTTGCTCCATTCCTTTAGTGTTCTGTTGGTTTGATCCACCCTGTTTTGCATTCCTCATGAATCCCACTCTATTTCTGCTTGCTGTGATATTTACTCAGATTTTGATTTTTCAAAAAGTGCACCTGCAGATTGGTAAAACACTACACAAAAATAATCTTGATGAAATTATATGTTTTCATTCATATAATGTATGGCTTTTTATTCATATGATGTTGCGTCTAATGATATAATCATTATATCACATATTTAGAGAGCAATCCTATAGTCCTTGGAAAGATGTCACAGAACCCAAGAGATACTGCAGATCTGTCAATGTGCCCTGCATAGAAGGAGGTCTATCCTTGCAGACTACTCCATCGTGGGGGTGGAAACCTCCTCCACATTTGTCAATCCATGCAGGGGCAGAGGAAGGCGGGCAGTGGGGGTGGGTTGCCCCGGGTGTCACCACTGAGGGAGGTGACAAAATGTCGGGTGGCACTCACCGCGGGGCAGCATGCCCGAGCCACGCATCTCTCCTGGGAGTGATGTGGTGGCTTGGGCGCCTGCAGGCTCCGTGCTGCCCAAACAGTCTGCCAACCGCCTCCCCCTCAGCTGTAGGGAGGCCGAGTCGGAGGAGGCAGGCAGACTCCTCAGAGGGCCCACGGAGCGTCCTGCCCCAGCTCGCGCCACCCCGCAGGTGGCTGGCCCCGCCCCTGGGTGCAGGGCATGCACGCCACCTCAGACGCCCGATCAGCTTGCTTTGCCACTGAATCCACTGTCAGTTCCAAGGATGATAAGAACAAAAACAGATCATTTCATTCCAGAGTGGATTGGGAAAGGCTTTAGAGCCACTGGATCCACAGCTCTCCCACTCTCCTGACATGGTTCCATCACAAGTGGGAAATACAGCAGCCCTGGAATTGGCATACTGATTTCCTTTCTGTTTGGGAGCAATGGGAGGAAAAATTGGTGGGGAGAGGCACTAAAAGATGAAAATATAGAAAAATGCGCACGCACACACACACACACACCCTTTTGCTTCTGCCCCATTGGTTTGAGCTCAGCATGGATTTCACCATTCATGTCCCTAGGATTGTATCCCAGCAGTGCAGCTCAAAAGGATTCCTCTTCCTAGCAACATTTTGTTTATACATCTCTATTTTGCCTCAGTTTGACTTTATTTATTTATTTATAAAATCTCTTTAAAATTTTAAAAAAAAACACCCATGTGTGGTTAGGAAAGGGCATTGGGAAGGCAAAACGATGCTCAAGGGAAACCTAAAATTCTCTAAGGAAGAGATGGATGGGCTGGAGGGAGAGAACAACTAAACTTAAATGTGGACTAAGTGCTTTTGGAATACAAGTTGTTTTATTGCACTCTTACATTTCAGATAATAAATGTATAATAAAACTGTATACAAAGAAAAAGATTGTGGTCCCCCCCCCTCCATTTACAACAGACACCTATGCTGTATGGAAGAAGAGTAGAGCGGGACGCTTAAGAAGACACAAGTGTGCAAAGACATCCCACTGTCTATGTGGCCTAAATTGCAAGTTCCAGAGTGAATTATAACCATTTAACATTCAATATTAAAACATCTAGAGCAGGTTACAGTCACAGGAAGAGGGTAGGTCCTGAAGACACCTATGTCACGTGTGAAAGTCCAGGGAAAGGAGATGTGCCTTCAGCATATGTACAGTATAAAGAGGGTACCAGACACCACCTCTGTGGGGAGGGAATTCCACAACCTAGGAGCTGCCGCAGAAAATGCCCAATCCCTGGCCACAACTCCCCAAACTTATGAGGGTGGTGGAACAACCTAGAAGCACCCATAGAGAAGGAGGAGTTCTTTCAGATATTTGGGGTCTGAGTCATTTAAAAAGCTAAAGGGACCCCTGACCATTAGGTCCAGTCCTGACCGACTCTGGGGTTGCGGCGCTCATCTCGCTTTATTGGCCAAGGGAGCCAGCGTACAGCTTCTGGGTCATGTGGCCAGCATGACTAAGCCGCTTCTGGCGAACCAGAGCAGCGCACAGAAACGCCGTTTACCTTCCCGCCGGAGCGATACCTATTTATCTACTTGCACTTTGACGTGCTTTCGAACTGCTAGGTTGGCAGGAGCAGGGACCGAGGAACGGGAGCTCACCCCGTCGCAGGGATTCAAACTGCCAACCTTCTGATTGGCAAGTCCTAGGCTCTGTGGTTTAACCCACGTCACCTGAGTCATTTAGGGCTTTATAATTAAGGGGAGTACCAGGAATTGGGCTCAGAAATGAACTGGCAACCAATACTCACAATCTCTTACTCAACAGCAGCCAGTATGATCAGGCAATAGCAATCACAATAAACTTTCACATTCTGAGCTGTTGTTGTTTTAGTAATTAAAATAAAGGAGAACTTGAATCTACTCACTTCCTGCCTTTCACAGCCACGTAGGAACCCTTGTGTAGTTTAGTGCTTCCAACAATGTCTACCATTTCAGGCACCAAATTTGCAAAAAGCATCTAGGACAATGAAATATACAAGCTCAGTTAAATGAAATGCCGGGATGAAGATTCTTAAGTAAATAAATAGGAAACCCAAGGACGTTTGAGGAAGAAAAAATAAATGTTAGCACTGAGGCTATTATTCACCATACATTTAGAAGTCTCGGGAAGAGCTGCAGCTCAGTGGTAGAACATCTGCTTTGTATGCAGGAAGCTCTGGGTTCAACCTTCAGGTATCACGGACTGGCTGGATGCTGAGAAGTGGTGGAAGGCACCAGCTGGGGGATCCCCAAGGGAACCCCCAGGGGAAGAAGGCTCAGAGCCAGGGGATTGGTGGTAGGACGATGATGCGTGCTCAGAGGGAGAAGAAGGAGCAGATTGGGAGGTGGGAGTGTCAGAAGTAGAAGTGGTAACAGGATTTAGTGAGGAGGAAAAGACTTTGGCAGAGAGCAGTTCAAACTCCAAGGCTGAAGCAGAGACTGGAGAGAAGGCTGGCCAAAAGACAGCATTGAGATAGGCTGTGGAAGAAACCAGGGAATTTCCCCTCCTGCTGCAATCAGCTCTCCTCCCCCTTGGTCTCCTAGAACATGCAGAGAAATGAAAAGAGCAGAGCAGAGATTGGTTGTGTATAGATGGAGTTTGCAGCTGCTTGGGAAAGACCCTGGAGAGGAGGAGCCTTAGGGCAGGCTTCCTCAACCTCAGCCCTCCAGATATTTTGAGACTACAATTCCCATCATCCCTGACCATTGGTCCTGCTAGCTAGGGATCATGGGAGTTGTAGGTCAAAAACATCTGGAGGGCCGAGGTTGAGGAAGCCTGCCTTAGAGGGTGGTGGGAAGGTGGGGAGCTTCAGTCCTCACAGCTACCTCGTTGGAGTAAGGCCTATTGGGAAGAGTTGCTGGGATCACAAGGTCTGTACTGTTTTGGTTTCTTTGAAATTAAAGGCACAGACACTGTTTCAACCTATGCTTGACTCTGACTCCTGGCACCAGGTAGGGTGGGAAGAGACTCCTGGCTGAAACTCTAGTGGGTCACTGCCAGTCAGTGAAGACAATGCTGAGTTGGTCTGATTCAAAAGAAGACTGTTTCCTGCTCTTCCTAGTACACATAAGATGCCATTGACCTGACACACTTAATGAACTAAAATTTCTCAGGCAGAAATTCTGACCAAGGTTTTGAGGAAATGGGGGGAGGGAACTTTCCTCTTGAACTCTTTGAGAATCTCAGTCCTTCCCTTGAGATTATTCAGCAATGTGGCCTCCTCAATCATACTGTCTGTCAGTTTGGCAAATGAGTTACTATAGTGGTTTATGCACTTGAGAATTGCTACTTAAAGGTGCCAATGAAAAAAGGCTGTTCTGTAATGCATCAAATTAGGTAGAACTAAAGATCTCAGATACAGGATTCTGAAGAAGACCGTAGAGCAGATTTGAAAGGGCTAAGAAATTTCTTACCAAGCCAGCAATGATGAAAATAATGATGAATGAACGCCCTAAGGAGGTTTTTACCACCACATCGCCATATCCAACTGTAGACATGGTTACCATGATCATGTATAAGCAATCAAAGTAAGTCAGGCTTTGGGAATTTTTAGTATATGCCCAGGGATCACCAGAATTTTCGATCTGTGCAAGAAACAAGAAAATGAATAAATTAATTAAAATAGAAAAAAAATGTGTAAAAAAATCATTTCACCTGAAAGCCTGAGCCATTGTAGCCATTGCTTTACGTACCCAATGAAGAAATCCTGCAGCTGTGAGACAAGTGCTGACAGAGACAGCTAGGAGTTTGGACAGCTTGACTGCAGTGCTAAAGCGGCAAGGGAAGACATGACCTGAGTGCCAAAGTGCCAAAGTTATCTCTACTTATTCCTCCTAACATTACTCAGATGGGTAGAATCCCACTTGGGCACCTTACCACTATCATAAGTAATTCAATTGGAGATAAATATAGATCCATTCATGAATTATGCTTTACATTCTGCCATTTGGCCTGTGGTTCACACAAAGTGACTAACCACCAATAATCACAACACACTGTATGTATGAATTTTCCCCAAACATACCATTTTTCTCTTTATCTTAATTTCTCTCCAGGTTTCAGAGTTCCAGGTTTTCTGCTATTGCATCCGAAATGGCACTAATGCATTAGATTATTTTTTTTTAACTGCTCTGTTTCAATTTTCATATGTTGTACAGAGCACATTTTGCCATAGCTTTAAGTTCCTGCAGTTCATTTTTTATCTCCCCATCCATTGAATTTTAACCAACCTGCAGTTGTGTTTTGATGAAAAACTACAAAAAAGCAATTAATACAACTGCGTGTGCTCTTGAATAAAGACACTTTTTGTGTGTGGTGTTTTACCAATGCACAGTAAAACTCCCAAAGGACATGCAGGACATGTAACAAAATGTTGCAGTGCAAGAGTATGCAGGGTTCTAGCAAGCCAGCCATACCCACTTCCAGGATATACCATTCCATCCTTACCCCAGGTTATGCATCCATTCCCCAGTCAGCTGGGATTCTGTTATCACTGAGCATGTTCAATCCTCAATGGGCCGTTTAGGGTTCCCCCCTAAAGTTGTTGTTGTTTCCCAAATCATAAAACTTTCCCTGACCCTCTGATTCATGGATGATGCCCTTTTGACTACATAAGAAACCACACTCAGTTAGAAAGCCAGTGTAGTGATTAAAGTGTTGGGATAAAGCCTGGGAGACCGGGGGTCAAATCCCGACCCATCCAGAAAATTTGCTGGCTGATCTTGGACCAGTCTCAGGCTTGTGCCAGTCCCAGGAACCATCCATGCTCATCTTCAACATGCTGCTTTTAATCTAATTTGATTCTAGATTCTTGCTGTCCAGGTGAACCAAGAAGGAAATGGGGATTGTGATATTGGCATACACCTATGTGCAATGCCATTGGGCAAATGTGTGTTTAAACACGCACCTGTAGCCAGGACAAACTGCAGTGTAATGCAGAAGTCACCTGCAATGAGCTTTGAGCTTTTATTTTTGGAATGAGACCAGTTTCCCAAGAAGCACTTTTGAGGGGCAAAATATACGTCAGATCTGGACTGTGTGCGGACTACATAGAAGGTAGTCTCCATTGATACTGAGAATGAAATGTTGTGTGTATACAGCCTCAGATAACGAGTTCTCTATACAGGATTCATGGTGATGTCAGGAGGACATTCCACAAGCACAGTGTGGAATTTAATTGGATCCACAGAACTCCAAGGATGAAACACTCTAACTGGCCCCTGACTGCTGGAGAAGTTAGAATCATAGAATTGGTAGAATTGGTAGAGTTGGAAAGGGACATCAAGGGTCCATCTAGCCCAACCCCCTACAATCTGCCAGGAAAGCTCAGCTAAAGCATCCATGACAGATGGCCATCCAACACCTTGCTTACAAACCTCCAAGGAGGTGGAGGGAGGAGGGGGGGGGAGAAGGAAGTTGATCTTAACCTCACTGATTTATCTTGGTTTTGTGGATCTCTCAGTGCGCATTACGTATGCTAAACAATATAGCTAGGCCACTCTTGGGCCCCAAAAATTAAGGAAGAAAGGATGTACATTTCCAAAAGATTAAGATAAAAAATAAAATAAAAAAAACCTACATACAGGAACATGTTTTGTGTTTGTAGGGCCTCTATTTGTTATGTGCAAATCGTTTTAGATACCTCTTAAGTCCTTAAATTAAAATTAATTAAATTAAATTAAATTAAGTCCTTAAATTAAGTCCTGACCTAATGGTCAGGGGTCCCTTTACCTTTTAAGTCCTTAAATTACCATATGGCATATATTCAACAACAACAACAAAAACAACACAAAAAAACCAGCGACAATTTGTTGTTGACAAAGGACAGCTGGACATATAAAGGACCCCATTACCTTCAGTAGCTCAGGGCCTCATCAAACCGACATCCGGCCCTGTGTCTCTCCCAGCTAAAAGCTGTCTGAATCACAATCCTGTGTGCAAAACTCCACACTAAGCAATTGACTTGCTGCCCAGGCTATCAAAATCCCAAGGTGGGGAAGGAGGTACAGAAGGGAAATCTATTGCTTATGAGAAAGGTGGTATGATGCGAGTCTGACTTACGCAGTCGTCGTAATCTGGAGAAACTGTAAAATTTTGGGAAGTTCCATCAGTCTGAGTGCTCGCAAGAAACGTAAACCTACAGGAAAGGATGCAGAGTGAGGCTTTGTGAGCGGGGGGAAATGTCCTTGTATTGGTGAGCATTTGTGCGTAACCCCTGTTATTATCTGGTCTGCTACGCTTAGGTTGAAAGCCTAAGCTTCCTTACCTAGGTGTAAGTCCCACTGAACTCAGTGAGGTGGACTACTAGAGTATAGCAATGGCTCCTGATGGAAACAGGGTTTTGAGGAGAAGAGTTGGTAGTATTTGATGGTCAGCATGCATGTACTGAGTATTTGGTAGTATTTCATAGCTAATTACAGTGTCATTTAGCAGTATGTGCATCAGTTCCTTTCGTATCCTGAAATACAAGGTCAATTGGGCTGATTTTCAGAAAGTTCACATCTTTCTGTGTTGGGCTGCACTATTAAAAAGGCATCCAAATTTGGAGCAGGGAAAGCTTAAGCTTTTGAGTAACCGTGGGGCTTCAGTTGTCCCTCACACAGGGGCATTCCAAGGTGGGGGTGGGGTATGTCTGCTCCGGGTGCCATTCCAAAGGGGGGTGTCACCCTGGGGTGACAAAATGCCATGCACCCCCTTGAATGTGCACCACACCCCCCAGGACGTGCGCCACACCCCACAGGTGGCATGCCACGCCCCCTGGGATGCATGCCACACACCCTGCTCTGGGTACCGGAGCAGGTTGCTTCACCTCTGCCCTCAAATGCTGTGGGTTTTTCCTATTGAAAAACAAAACCGAACAGACTGAGGAAATGCTCAGAGCTCGACAGGGAAGGGGGGTTCTTTAGGTTTGATGGGCAGACCTAACTTTTAACCACAACAATTATGTCCTCAGAGCACTCCAGTTACAGCAATTTGTGGAAAGGAGAAGTCTACCATATCCCCCGTGGGGGCAGAAGCTTGCTCCAGTCAACCGTCCTTGGGGTAAGAGGGTCCTTGGTGTGTGAGTGAGAGAGACTGGGTGGTATTTTCCCTAACTCAGTCTTTCTTGGGAATTTATGCTGTTTTCTATGCAAGTTAATGGAAATATTGCTGTACTCACCAAGCCAGTTTCTTCCTAAATAGAAAGAGATACAGACCGGAGTAATGGTGAAGAAGTCCACAATGGAATTGAGTTCAACCCAGAAGGTCAACTTGTCACTTGCTGCAAAGAACTAGAAAAACTGCACAAAATCAGATGACACAAGGACCATATCTGTCTAGCTGTCTTTCCGCCCACTCACTCATCCACTATCCATCCTCCCAAACTAGCTATGTACACCATTTCAGGGAGGGTGACTGGGTGAAGTTGCTGTTCAATGCCTTCTTCTTGCCTGCTTGCCAGCTGATGATCACCCACCATTTCGCTTCCGATATTAGCCCTTCATATGAAAAGCTAGTACAGAGAAGGTTATTATACTGAATCCTGCATCCTTGACCTATCCTCTACTTTTTGTACAGTGGTACCTCAGGTTAAGAACTTAATTCGTTCTCAAGGTCCGTTCTTAACCTGAAACTGTTCTTAACCTGAAGCACCACTTTAGCTAATGGGGCCTCCTGCTGCCGCTGCGCAACTTCTGTTCTCATTCTGAAGCAAAGTTCTTAACCCGAGGTACTATTTCTGGGTTAGTGGTGTAACCTGAAGCTTCTGTAACCTGAAGTGTATGTAACCCAAGGTACCACTGTATATGCTGGAAGCTGCCCAGAGTGGCGGGGACAACCTAGTCAGATGGGCAGTGTCAGAGAGCAGACAACCTAGTCAGATGGGCAGTGTCAGAGAGCAGACTGAGGATTACAACTCTGAAGAGAACCTCCCCCTCTTCCTGCTCTTTACCAGGATCCTGAAGCTGCTCAGGAACAGTGGAGCAGTATAGATTTAGAGAATTTGTTTGCAGAGGGACATGGTTCGGAAAACAGCAGCTGGGCAGAGCTGAGTGTGAAACAGTTAGAAGAAGCAGAATAGGAAGAGAGAGAGAGATAAGTGACTCCCCTTCTCTAGAGAGTGCCCAGCCTATCTCTCCAAAGGCAAGGAGAGCTGATAAGGTTGCTATGCAGAAGGCTCAATGGTTGCGAGATCAGGCTGCAAGAAGGGGAAGTGACAGTGACTTGGGGGGGGGGAGGAAAACTTAATTGGGAGCACCTTTGCTCCGAGAATGGCTGCTGTGTTCTTTTGCTGTGATCATTAAACACTCTTAAACCGGTAAGGGTCTCTAAATGCTTTGTTCTGCTGCTGCTCGTCTTAAGGGGGAAGGAAGCCATTTTCCGAAGCCTGACAGGTGGGGTACAAATAATAAAATTCTTATGATGATGATTATTTCCGGCTAGGAATGGGGGAGAAATTGAATCCATTTTCATTTTTTCCACCATTTATTTATTTATTTCCATAAAGCTTTTTCCTGATTCAACAAGATAAAGGGGCAGAGAGAGAGAGGGAGAAGAAAGAAAGAAAGAAAAAGAAAAAAAGAAAGAAAGAAAGAAAGAAAGAAAGAGAAAGAAAAGAAAAGAAAAGAAAAAGGGTTTCCAATTCTCCCCTTGTTATTTATATAAAAATAATTATTCCAATAGATTTTTTATTTTTTATGGTTAATAGCCATCACAATACAATATAATAATAATAATAATAATAATAATAATAATAATAATAAAAATCTTATTTATATCCCACCCTCCCCAGCCGAAGCCGGGCTCAGGGCGGCTAACAACACTAAAACAGTGCAACATTATAAAAACATTATAAAATTAATTAAAATACAAATTGATGGCAACCATAAACTAAAGTTTGTAAAGATTGCCAAAGGAGGGAGTCAGGCTGCGCCCTGACCAAAGGCCTGGTGGAACAGCTCTGTCTTACAGGCCCTGCGAAAAGATGTCATATATATATATATAAGCACAAATCACACAGCTTCAGAATGAAAGATGTTGCATGCACTGGACCAAGACAAATGTACAATTTCCAGATTTTTTTATTTTTAATTTTTTTAAAAAAACATTCCTTCTGGTCAGCATCCTTAGGGTTTGACAGTTGCACTATCCATAAAGGTTGCCCTTTCTTGCTGCTTGAGCAAAAAGTGCCACCCTATAACTGATGCATTTATCAACATCTGCCACCAGCCATTTAATCTAAAAAGCATCTGGTTGACCTAAGGTGGTTTGAAAATGGGGAGATAAATTTTGGGAAAGAAAAGAAAAAGGGTTTCCGATTCTCCCCCTGTAAGTTATATAAAAAGAATTATTCAAAGCATTTGCCCCACGATAACATCAAACTATTCTACTTTCTACAAACCAGTATTATCTCAATCTCCCAGCCCAAATATTGCGTATTCATTTTCTTTTTCACACAAAAAGTCCAGAAGTGGTTCCTCATCTATGGAAAGCTAATTGGAAATTTACGGCATGTTTTACATTAAGGGAGAACCTTTAAAAGATGCTATATTGATTGTATTTAACCCCTTGTAAGCTTTCCAAAATGTACAAAATGTTCCAAATACATGCTGGAGATGTGGAGAACCAGGTGGAACTCTCCTCCACATGTGGTGGGTGTGTAAAAAGATTAAGACCTTTTGGAATGATATATATAGAAAGAGCTCAAAACAATGTTAAATGCATCTTTTCTGAAGAAACCAGAATCATTTTTATTGGACATTCCAGGTCCAGACATTGTTAGGAAGATAAGAAAAGTCTTTCTGTGTGCCACCACTGCCACAAGGATACTTATAGCAAAACATTGGAAGAATGACAAAATTCCCACTAAATCTGAAAGCTAGTAGATCTAAATCTAGTAGCTTTCTAAATTAGTAGCTTTAGTAAATCTAAAGCTAGTAGACTATGCTGAATTAGACAGTCTCTCAGAAAAGATCAAAGATAAGTCAAAACAGGAGTTCATTTCAAACTGGGAACCTCTAAGGAGATATTTAAAGGATAATTGTTGCAATCTGGAATTGGTAGCAGCCTTTGAGTAACCTCTGCAAGTAATGTAGGTTAAAAGGGAGAAAACAGATTTATATATGTATGAAAATTATTATTTCATGACTAATATATTGAGGCAATAGGTTTATTAGAGTGGAAAAATTGGGAAAGGATGGGAAGTCAAAATATGTACTAAATATAGTGTAAAGGTAAAGGTAAAGGGACCCCTGACAGTTAGGTCCAGTCGTGGAAGACTCTGGGGTTGCGGCGCTCATCTCGCTTTACTGGCAGAGAGAGCTGGCGTACAACTTCTGGGTCATGTGGCCAGCATGACTAAGCTGCTTCTGGCGAACCAGAGCAGTGCACGGAAACGCCATTTACCTTCCCGCCGGAGTGGTACCTATTTAGCTACTTGCACTGCGTGCTTTCAAACTGTCCATTCTTTTGTTGGATTTTCGTTTTGACAAAACTGACATATGCAAAATAAGGAAGATATGTCTTTGATAGGGGACGCGGGTGGCGCTGTGGGCAGAGCCTAGGACTTGCCGATCTGAAGGTCAGTGGTTCAAATCCCCGCGATGGGGTGAGCTCCCGTTGCTCGGTCCCTGTTCTTCCAACCTAGCAGTACCCAGGGTATGGCACTCCAAACTGTAACTTTATGTTGCAGGTTCAGTTTGTTATTTCAGTTAGTGATGTGTGAGGTTCATTGTGGCTTACATTGGGGATTGGCTCAGATATAAGCTGGACTACTTTTCCACCAGGGACGCGGGTGGCACTGTGGGTTAAACCACTGATCCTAGGGCTTGCTGATCAGAAGGTCGGCGGTTTGAATCCCCGCGATGGGGTGAGCTCCCGTTGCTTGGTCCCTGTTCTTCCAACCTAGCAGTTCGAAAGCACGTCAAAGTGCAAGTAGATAAATAGGTACCGCTCTGGCGGGAAGGTAAACGGCGTTTCCGTGCGCTGCTCTGGTTCGCCAGAAGTGGCTTAGTCATGCTGGCCACATGACCTGGAAGCTGTATGCTGGCTTCCTCGGCCAATAAAGCGAGATGAGCGCCACAACCCCAGAGTCGGCCATGACTGCACCTAATGGTCAGGGGTCCCTTTACCTTTACCTTTATGTCTTTGATGTACAGATGCAAGTTTGAACAATAAAGCGCATATCTATCTATCTATCTATCTATCTATCTATCTATCTATCTATACACACACACACATATGTGTGTGTGTGTGTGTGTGTGTGTGTATATATATATATATATATATATATATATATATATAGCAAGCCAAAGGGGGTTCCCAATTATACAGAGGCTGGCTTCATTTGCACAGGTTCTTTCACATGAGCTGTGGATGAACTGGGCTCCTGATCACATTGATGAGGTTCTAGGTCAGCGGTCCCTTTGCAGGGCAACCTCTGTTATTTCTTTCCTCTGGGTGGGATGAGACCAGCAGCACCTCCTGGTCACTGAGAGGCCGCAGCAGAGGCAGCTTGGGTGGGCAACTGCTGGGGAGGCAGAATACCTGGCCTCCAAGGAGCAGGCTGCAGATGTCACTGCCACCAGAGTGGCAGAAGCAGAATCTGTTGCCCCTGTGGATCTGACCACCTGAGGCAGTCACTTCACCCTGCTTCATGGGTGGGCCAGCCCTGCTGACAGATGTCTCCCATCATGCATTTCATGATGTGAAAAGTTTAGTACTTCACCTGCCACTGAGAGTGTTGGGGGAGATACATCTCCTCAGTTTTGCCATATGTCATTCTAACATCTGCACATTCCTTTATGCATGGCCATGACTTTCCCTATTAATTTATAAAAGAAAAATATTTCTTACCCGCAATCCAAAGTAAAAGAGGAAGAATAAATTGAAGAAGAGGTCAACAAAAACTGTCTGGTCTTCAAATGAGAGACAGAACTGTTTAACACTGGAGAAGAGAGGGAAAGGGATTCATCATCATCATCATCAATCATCATCATAATAATTTATTATTTGCATCCCGCCCATCTGGCTGGGTTTCCCCAGCCACTCTGGGCAGCTTCCAGCAAAGATGAAAGATACACTAAAATGTCACATATTAAAAACTTCCCTGAACAGGACTGCCTTCAGATGTCTTCTGAATGTCAGGTAGATGTTTATTGCTTTGACATCTGATGGGAGGGCGTTCCACAGGGCAGGCGCCACTACTGAGAAGGCCCTCTGCCTGGTTCCCTGTAACTTGGCCTCTCGCAGTGAGGGAACCGCCAGAAGGCCCTCGGAGCTGGACCTCAGTGTCCGGGCAGAACGATGGGGGAGGAGACGCAATTCATTATTGTTTACAGGCCGATATGAATTCCCATGTCAGTGTGGTTTAATGGTTAGATTCTTGGACTGAGACCAGGGAGACCAGAGTTCTATGTAAATAATAATAATAATAATAATAATAATAATAATAATAATAATAATAATTTATTTATTCCCCAGCCACTCTGGGCAGCTTCCAACAAAATATTAAAAGGTTAAAATACATAACCCTGAGCTCATTGGATGAAATTTGGGATAGAAATAAATATTGTGGAACGTGGTTTGTTTGTCTGTTTGTTCCTCTGCTCTCTTTGGATTTGGATGCCACTTCATATACTATCGCCAAACTCAGCATGAGGGTTCCTGAGGTGAAGAGGTGGTAGTATTTGCCAATGTTTGGATTTCGGGCACCATTTTGAATCAAGATGATGGATTGAAACCTGATTTTAGCATGACTTCACCAGCCTTCTGGCATAGATTCGACCACATCTCAAGATACTGTCACCACAACCAATGCAAGCATTCCAGAGGTGGGGGTGGCAAACTTTGTCAATGATAGGATGCCAGGCAACATTTTGATTCAAGTTGGCAGACCAAAATATGACTTTGGCATGATTTCACCCATTTTTTTGGTCATAGGTTCATCACCATCTGGAGCCAGAACCAGCACTAACACTTATTCTAGGTATCTGAAGAAGTGTGCATGCACACGAAAGCTCATACCAAGAACTAACTTAGTTGGTCTTTAAGGTGCTACTGGAAGGATTTTTTTTTTTTTGTTTTGACTATGGCAGACCAACACGGCTACCTATCTGTAACTGGAACTTATTCTAGGAGTGAAGCTAGCAAAAAAAACATGGAAGATTCCTGTTTCTGGGCAAAGGCCATTCAGTGGGAAGCCAGAAACTGAGAAGGGGCACCTCAGAAAGTGCTGTACTCTCCTTCATTGGGAGTTTTTAAAGAGAGGCTAGATGGCCACCTGGCAGGGATCCCTTAGCTCTGATTTCTACATTGCAGGGGTTGAAATAGATGACCCTTGATATCACTTCTGTGTTTGTTACCAGTAAGTTCCAAAGATCAATTCAAAGTATTGAGGTTGTTGCTTTAATTAAAACCCTACATGGCCTAGAATAAGAGTATCACTGTCTACTCACATATGAGCCTGTCTGAGCAAGAGTAACCACCAGCTCAGTGGTTAAACACATGTAAGGAGATTGCTGTTGCAGTTAGGTTGTGCTTGCAGGTTCCTCATGGGCACCTGGTTGGCCAAGTGAGAACAGGGTCCTAGACTGGATGAGACTGAGCCAGAAGAGCTCTTCTTCTGTTGTTATGCTTCACATGCAAAAGACCCAATCTCTGGAATTGGGAAGGGCCATAACTTTGTGGCAGAGCACCTGCTTTGTATGCAGAAGACCCTTGGTTCAGTCCCTGGCATCTCCAGGTAGGACCAGGAGAGACTTCTGCCTGAAGCTCTGGAGAGCTGAGGCCAGCCATTGTGGACAAGACTTAGCTAGATGGTCTAATGGTCTGGCTCAGAAACATAGGGAGCTGCCTTGTACCATTTCTGGGCAGGGCTAGGAAAGACTCTTGTCTGAAACACTGGAAAACTGCTGCCAACCATTGTCTGAACTATAGCAATCCAGGTGTGCCAATGGTTCTGACTGGTATAAGGAGCTTCCTATGAGGGCTGAGATCAGCCTACAGGTTCCTCTAACATCAGAAATATGACAAATAGTTGGGGGGAGAAGGCATTTTCTGTGTCCCCAAGGGAAGACCACCGGGCTCCATTTTTGCTCACCTTTCAACTTTTGCTCACCGCAAAGATTTGGGAGCGTTCTGCCTCCAAATATAATTCTAGTGAGCATTTCTTGGAGTGTTCCTTCCCAATATAATTTGCGCATTTGATTTTTAATGTGTTTGATGGATTACTGAGAGTTTCAATATGAATTTTAACATTGTCTTTTTATTATTATTTATTATTTTATTATTTATTATTATTATCCTTCCCTGTTGCTTGTGTTATTTGCCATCTTGGTGATTTCAGGAGAAAAGAGGATACAAATATTTTGAATAGCTATATCACTTGTTGTTTTTTTTAAAAAGCAACAAATTAAAAATACACTTTAGGATAGATTTCTGAATTATAATTACCTTTGACAGTTGATGAAGTAAATGATGAGTGATCCAATGCTAAACAGGAACACCAGTATGACCTAAAACAGTGATAACTGATATGAAAATCCAGCTGATTCTAAATCATGCCATTCAAATATCAAGATGCGAAACCATTTTACTATCTTCTTGAAACAAGGATGGGGACTCTGTAGCCCTTCAGATTCGCTTGGACTCTAACTCCCATTATCCCTGGGTGTTGCCTATGCTAGCTGTGGCTGGTGAAAAATAAGTCCAACAATAACTGGAGGGCACAAGTTCCCCATCCTTTCCTTTAAACGTCACTAAAATGTTGGGTGGATGTACACCTTATGGCTTTCATGTGCAGATTACTGGACACTTTATTTTGTGATGATACACCGTCTCTTTCCAAGCATATGTTCATCACACAGTTCGTACTATGCAGGAACGGGACAAATGGATTAATCTGTATCAAGCACTGTTTGATATATATATATATATATATATATATATATATATATATATATATTTCAGCACATTAAATTAAACATGTCCAGGAATGTACACAGATGTCACAACATAAATTATTATTATTTGCAACCATCATCAGATAAAATCTTAGGGTAACATAAAGCAACCCTCAATTTTACACAGTGCATTCAATTTTACACAGCGCACATAGAATAATAGAATTGTAAGGGACACCAAGGGCCATCTAGTCCAACCCACTACAATGCAGGAATCTCATCACATGGTCCCCCATCCAGTTTGAAACCACAGCAGACCCTACTTAGCTTGGCAAATGTGCTAGCATTTTCATTGCCACACTTTATATGAATTTGGGATTTGCAACTTCCCCTGGTTCCATTTTTTTTTAAAAAACTGTTTCTCTGTTTCACTTTGCCCTGCTCTCCACTCCTCCTGAATCTTGGTTTTAAAACTATAATTTCTAAAACTAATTCAGGAATTGTAGCATGTCCAGGTTGCACATGTTTGCATTCATAAAACTCTGGGGAGGGGAAGGTTGATGTGATTGACAGCATGACTGCAATTGAAGTTGGAAGTGGTGCACTAATCACTGTCCAGAATATGAGGCATCTACTGGGAGGGAAAAACTGGTGTGAATGCTCTGGTACACTCTGATCTTAAAATGCTATTACTCAGAATACAAGCCAATTCCACTGAAATCAATGGAGCTTACCTCCAAGCAAATGCTATTTAAGATCAGAAGTGGTCGGCTTCAATCCAAAGAACATTTAGTTGGAAGTAAAATCTATGAGGCTTAGGACTGGAATGTAAGTTTGTGATCTTTTGGGAGGGCGCAATCTGTCCATATATTGCAGTCCATTGTCGTTATAGGCCTTGAACTCTTGACAACAGAGATTTTGGTGGAAGCATGCTGGGCTTAGGGTCTGCATTTGAGCTTCCATATCATGTAATGCTGACCTCAAAGCAGAGGAAGTCAAATATTGCTTGGCTTGGAAATAAGCTGAGCTATTTTTTAGGGTTTGGTGCGAAAGTAAAAGTAAAGGTAAAGGGACCCCTGACCATTAGGTCCAGTCGCAGATGACTCTGGGGTTGCAGCGCTCATCTCGCTTTACTGGCCGAGGGAGCCAGCTTACAGCTTCTGGGTCATGTGGCCAGCATGACTAAGCCACTTCTGGCAAACCACAGCAGTGCATGGAAACGCCATTCACCTTCCCGCTGGAGCGGTACCTATTTATCTACTTGCATTTTGATGTGCTTTCAAACCGCTAGGTTTGCAGGAACAGGACCGAGCAACGGGAGCTCACCCCGTCGCGGGGATTCAAACCGCCGACCTTCTGATCAGCAAGCCCTAGGCTCAGTGGTTTAACCCACAGTGCCACCCACATCCCTGGTGGGAAAGTAGTCCAGCTTATATCTGAGCCAATCCCCAATGTAAGCCACAATGAACCTCACGCATCACTAACTGAAACAACAAACTGAACCTGCAACATAAAGTTACTGTGTGGAGTGCCATACCCAGGGTTGATGTTTTTGAGCTATTTTTATGGAAAATCGGCAAAAACAACACAGCCGACACGGGTTGCCATATGTCTGGATTTTCCCAGACATTTTGACGAATTCCGGCCGGACACTGCTTCCGGCTGCAGTATTTTGGGTAGGGTTTTTTCTCCTAACGTTCTTTTTTTTTTTTTGTACTTTGGAAAACCTTGAGATTTTATTGAATCTGCCAGTACCTTCAGATTTTGCATGAGTGGTGTTGTTTTGTGGTGCCTGAATGCAAGGAATGTGTATGTGGGTGGTTATCATCTTGCAGCCCTGCCTCCTCTCCTACTGCAGTATCATGTATGATTATTTGTAGTACTTCTTCATGTCCCTCCTCCTCAAGAGGTCTGGAGGGTGGCAACATGAGAACAGGCCTTCTCTGCAGTGGCTCCCCATCTGTGGAATGCTCTTCAGAGGGAAGCTCACCTGGTGCCTTCATTCCTTTTTAACCAGGCCTTTGGTTGATTTGATTGACATCCTATGCCCTTTTAAAATGTGGTTGTTTTGTGGGGGGAGCTATAGGGTTATGGTTCTTATTTTTATTATGTAGTTTGTGGTTTTATAGCTTGATTTTATTATGTGAACCGCCTTGAGACCCCCAGGTATAGGGTGGTATATAAATTCTAATAATAATAATAATAATAATAATAATAATAATAATAATAATAATAATAATAATAATACTTCCCTTCCCAATGCATACATATTAATTAAACAACTCACCAGTATACGTCCCACAACAGTCTGAGCAGAGATCATCCTGACTACCCAAACCTGAAAGTATCTCTTCCATAGATTTAACCTAGGCATCCTTCGAGTCTGTTAAGGGGAAAAGAAAGGAGCTGAGTCTTGAAAAGGACCACAATCCACATTGCTGTGCTACAGGCAAGCAGGGTGCTCTCATCTCTCAGATTATTGGTGTATGCCCCCTGCTACTTCTCCACATCCCCACTCCTCCACACAAGTGAAATCTGCACAGCTGTCTCTGTAAAAGCATGAGAACACTGCCCGGGTGTTTAAATAGGGACAGAATCTTTTGAAGAAACTGGGGGGGGGGGGAACTAAGCACACACCTGCTCATTTTGATCCTGCTGGTGAGCAAGGCAGATCTCTTATTGGAGCGCCAAGCCCGAATATTAAATAACAGACACAAGTGTAAAAGAGGGTGAGAGAAGTGTGGTTTCTGGAAATATTGGAAACCCCTCAGCGTGTTGGTGTGTTAACAATAAAAACAAATAGAGAAAAATTACGCAAATCCCACTAACACTCCCCAATTCTTTAAAAACATACAACGAACAACTGGATAGCAATCATGAGCAGCAGAACTAGACAATTCACAGCCAGTCCCAGCTTTCAGTTTCTTCAATTTGTTTACATTTTTCTTAGCCTTTTAGGATATATTTCCCAAGGTCATGCTCACGAGCTGTTTACTGTTGCACATGGATGTTGTTGTACCTTGTCAGAACATCACACAAGATAAATTGAAAGGTATATTTGAGTACAGTCGCACCAATATTTTATCCCTGATGCGTGGTTGGGGGGCAAGAAAGCAGCCCCCACCCCAAAGAACCAAGATGCCTCCCCAAGGATGGCTCTTAGTCACCAGCTGTAACTAGTTCCATCTGCGGTATATTGTCCAGGCATGCAAACCCTCCTTGCTCAGCATCCAGTTGTGTGTTTACCTTAAATCCAGCAAATTTAAACAAGGACTTCAATGAGTATTCAATTACTCTGAACATCAAGATGAGGAGGATGCCTCCCACAAAAATGGACAGACAGGCGGACATAAAGGCCAGCTGAACATATTCAGTGCAGTGGCTCCCAATTTCCTCATCCCAGCTTCCACCCACTTCATGATAATACATATCTCATTCCTGTGCTGTCTCTTCTGCTTTTTTCCTACTGTTCACTTGGGATGTTCTAAGAAATACCCTTCCTTTCTAGAATCTTTGTGATGTCACTGCCAACATATGATGTCATTCATAGAGCGAGCTGTAGACATCAGCTATGTTTATGGAAAACCAGCTGAACAAGGAACAATGTGGATTGCACAAAGAAAGTTGCCTCCGCTGCTGCTTCCTTAGCCCCGAAAGGGTGACTGGGTAAACCCACACTGTCCCAGGGTGGATGGATGAGACACCACAGCAATCAAGGTGCAGTGGTGTCACTTGGCTGGAATGAGCCTTTATGGGCCAGACCCATCCCCTTTCTGATTGACCCACTAAGGTACAAACATCTCCTCTTCTCCTCCTTCAGGAGGAAGTCTGTCAAGGCTTCCTTCTCCGTTCGAGTGAGCCCAACTTATCTCCATGTGAGACTCAGGGGAGTGGCATGTTCTCCTCAAGAGGGACCCATAGTAACTTTGGTAAACAACACCAATTGGCAAATGGAATATGGGAAGAATTAACCCCAGCACTCCTTTCACAATCCTACAGCAACTCTCAGATCCATTGGAAGTAAATAAAAAGAGTTGGCAGATCTCCTATGTCACCAGGGGCATAGCATGGGTTGCCTGTGCCCAGCATGGGGAAGTGTTGTGCCCCCCTAGTGGACTGGGAAACTGGGGTGGTGGTGCATACCGGGCAATCACATTGGTGTTGACAGTTGTGCTGCTCCTTCCTCCCTTGTCCCACCCCAACCCAGAGGCTCCTCGCAGCCAATGAATGATGCTGCCACCTGGACAATGAGGCAACTGGAACCCCTCACAGGAGAGGCGAAGAAGCGAGCAGGGAGGTGTGACTTACGGGGTCCCTCAACCCTGCATTAAGTCTCTATTTGGGTATGTCTACACAGGTAAGGGACGCGGGTGGCACTATGAGTTAAACCACAGAGCCTAGGACTTGCAGATCAGAAGGTCAGTGGTTCGAATCCCCGCAATGGGGTGAGCTCCCATTGCTCGGTCTCAGCTCCTGCCAACCTAGCAGTTCGAAAGCACGTCAAAGTGCAAGTAGATAAATAGGTACCGCTCCGGCAGGAAGGTAAACGGCATTTCCGTGCGCTGCTCTGGTTCGCCAGAAGCGGCTTAGTCATGCTGGCCACATGACCCGGAAGTTGTATGCTGGCTCCCTCGGCCAATAAAGCAAGATGAGCGCCGCAACCCCAGAGTCGGCCACAACTGGACCTAATGGTCAGGGGTCCCTTTACCTTTACCTTTACACAGGTAGGTCTTGGATGCACTCATTCAATGGATTCAGTCTCTGTAAGAGTGTAAGAGTGAGGCTCAGGGAAGGTTAAGGGAACAGGTGGTGAGTGGGCTGCACAGATTGCAGAAGCTCCTTCTCAATGCTTCCTCCCTGCCACTCCCCCTGACCACCACCTGCCTCCCCCCTGCTCCCGCAACTGGCTCCTTCACAAGTGTAGAGAAGCTACAGCGGCCTCCACAGCAGTGGCTGCTCTTCCTCCTCCTTCCTCTGTGCCTCTTTCTCACTGCTAGCTCCCTCCCCACCCACCACCCTGCCATGGCCCTCCTTTGGTCCAGGCAACCCTCCACCGTCCTCCACCCCCACTTGCAGTTGCCTTGAGACCCCTGCACTGCACTTGGCAAACTCACCAGCAGCAAAACAAAACACAGCTGCTCTTGCAAAGTTAAAGAAATTGGAGTTCTTGTTGAAAATACACTGAAAAGGATATACCAAGAGCTCTGGCCACAAGTTTCAATATAAGGAATAATTCCTACTCAAGAGTTGAAAAGAAAAACGTGTGTATTCTGCTAAGAATAACAGTTAGAAACTAATAGTAAATTTAAACACAGCGTGTAAGTGCGATAGTTTTAAGGTAATAGTAAATTTAGATACAATGTTTAAGTACAAAAATAATGTAGTTTCAAATATGCAGTGATATAGTATAAAGGTACATAAAATACCAGTATACAACAATTGTTTTATACAAGTCTCAATGGCAGTCAAAAAGAGTCCATTTTTATTGTATAAAATCAGAATGAAGAATGAAGAATCAAATAGGGCCAAAAAGGAGTATCCGGAGTGTGAATCAGATGTACGACTCAGTAGTGGTGACCAGGACAGGGCCCTGTTTCGGAGTAAACGCCTTCTTCAGCTCGTTTTTTTGAGGACTATAACTGTTGGAAGTCTATATCATTTAATTCTTTTATGTTTCTTTTTCGACATGCGTCTTAGATAATTGAATCCAAGTTTTCTTGCATTTCTCTGTGCGTTTCTCAGGCATTCCTCCCAAAACTGTGCCCCCCCAAAATGTGCCCGGGCCCACCACCCCGGTAGCTCCCACCATGCCACAACAAGCCCCCTGTGTGTCACACCAAGTTTGAGTCTCAGGCTAGGCCTTGGGCAGAGGGAACAGACAATGGAGACATAAAGGATGATGCACTATATTCTACATATCGCTTGATATAACGGAACATCCCTCTTTCCTCCTTCCCCTGCTTCAAGCCTCACTTCTGCAGCTGCTGGAATCAGATGGAGCTAGTTATCTCAGCCGTTCACTCCCCATTGGAATATAATTTCATCAAAATCTCTAGGGTTCATAGAGAGGTTTTTAAAAAATCTTTTATGAAACCAATGGATGAATAATAACGCAATCAGGTTTCTCTTCATGCAATCAGAACAGTTGAGTGGGGAAATGGTGATTTTTGTCTGAAAAGGGGACACATGCCCAGGAAAACCAAGTAGCGAAACAGTTCCCTAGCATGAGGGCTGATGGGCAAAGAATGCAATATTTTGTGGCCTTTAAATATAGCTATTACTGAATGCATCTCCTCCCCACTGCGAAAGCCAAAGGGGGCCAGTTCAAGTCAGTGTTACCGTGTGAATAAAGCAATGTGCCGACAGTAGCCATTTTGTAACTTTGGCAATGTGACTCTTCTTCTTTATATTTCCACATGTGTGTCCTTTCCAGCTGACCCAGCACAATTATCATCAACTCTCCATTGTGGAATACCCTCATGCTCAAGCCAACATCTGCTGAAAAGCAAGTTTCTAGAATTAGTTTGTATGCATGCAAACACAAGGGTGGTCTCCACCCCTAGAAGTAAGACGTGACTGGGATTAAACGTCACAACTTTATTAACTATCAAGGCACTGAGAGAAAATGAATCTAGGGAAACTGTAGGAAGCCTAACATGATGAAGGTGCTTTGAGAACTCCCCAGCCCTTCACCTGGGCAACCCAATCCTGGCTCAGGGTCCCAGATTTAGATAGTTAATGGATTAGTACCCCTCTATGTCTGCTCACTTGAAATCAAGCTGAGGTGGGCATCCATGAGTTGTATCCCAGCATTTCGAAGGAAGCCTGTTCTAGTGCTCAAGGTCTTTTTCTTCTGTTCCTGGTGAGGAGTCGGGGTAGATTGAATGAACATCCCTTCACTGAGATGGTGCCCTTGGGTGCTCATCAGGGGTGCTAAGCTAAACTCCTTCCCTGCTCATACTATGTGCCACAAGAGCTTAAGCTGGGCTACCCTCTACCCACCTGCAGAGCACAAGGTCAGACAGGCCCCTATGTGGATCCTTGATAAATAAATCACATCCTTCAGTAGAAAGGTGGACACCACCATCTCTATAAAGATGAGTCACTGAATGGTGGATCTGCTCATATGCAATGTATGCACGCCCGTGTAACCTCCTGATTCTCCATGGGGCACTGCAGTGAAAACTGGCATCCTAGGGTTCTAGATTCAGATAGATAGCCGTGTTGGTCTGACACAGTCCACACACACACACACACACACACACACACCCCTCTGGTTACATACTTAATTCATTCCGGAGGACTGTTCTTAACCTGAAACTGTTCTTAACCTGAAGCACCACTTTAGCTAATGGCGCATCCTGCTGCCGCCGCGCCACTGCTGTGCGATTTCTGTTCTCATCCTGAAGCAAAGTTCTGAACCAGAGGTACTATTTCTGGGTTAGCGGAGTCTGTAACCTGAAGCGTAAGTAACCTGAAGCTTATGTAACCCGAGGTACCACTGTATATATAATCCAGTAGCACCTTAGAGACCAACTAAGTTTGTTCTTGGGACGCAGGTGGCGCCGTGGTCTAAACCCCTGAGCCTCTCGGGCTTGCTGATCAGGAGGTCAGCGGTTCAAATTCCTGCAACGGGGTGAGCTCCCATTGCTTGGTCCCAGCTCCTGCCAACCCAGCAGTTTGAAAGCATGCCAGTGCAAGTAGATAAATAGGTATCGCTCTGGCGGGAAGGTAAATGGCGTTTCCATGCTCTGCTCTGGTTTCGGTGTTCTGTTGCACCAGAAGCAGCTTAGTCATGCTGGCCACATGACCCGGAAAAAACTGTTTGCGGAGCGGACAAACGCTGGCTTCCTCGGCCTGTAAAGCAAGATAAGTGCCGCAACCCCAGAGTCATTTACGACTGGATTTAACTGTCAGGGGTCCTTTACCTTTTTAAGTTTGTTCTTGGTATAAGCTTTTGTGTGCATGCACATGAAAGCTTATACCAAGAACAAACTTAGTTGGTCTCTAAGGTGCTACTGGACAATTGTTTTTTTTTTAAATATTTTGTCATCCTAGGGGATGTTATTGATAACATGGACAGTAAACTGATTATTCTTGTTGTTTGATTTATATACCACCCTTTATCAAAAGTTCCCAAGGAGGTGTACAATATTAAGAACATATTTTATGGAATATTAAAAAGCATAATACAGAGCATAATGATAAACAGCATACTAATAATAACAACAATGGCCTCCCTCACACAAATATAACAGGCCATGGATTATTTACCATATTTTTCATTCTATAAGACACATCAGACCACAAGACGCACCTAGTTTTTGGAGGAGGAAAACAAAACAAAACAAAACATTCTGAATCTCAGAAGCCAGAACAGCAAGAGGGATCGCTGTGCAGTGAAAGCAGCAATCCCTCTTGCTGTTCTG